TTCGCCCCTTTTCCTCTCTTATAGCCATTTAGGTTACACCGGTAACTCTAGAAGAATTAGACTTTGGGTCTTGTTGTTTCCGTTAAATGAATTTAACAGTTGTATTGTGGAGAATCTAAAAGATCTAACGATGTTCAGCATGTCCATATTGACATATTGATCATACGTTTAAACATTAATATTTGTATTAACGATCTGAGCAGCTTAGAAGCAGCCAAATCGGGCGACCCCGCGGGGTTTAAGAGGTTTTATACATCCAAAGAACATCTATAAAAACCAGACCAGGTGTTTAATTAAGGCAGGTATTTATTTGTCAAAATGTGTTCCCACACCAGGCCAGTAAAGGAGGTAGGCGGCTATTTGGGACTCGGCTATTAATTGAAGTTTTACGGTAAATACAAACTTGGTTTAGACATAGCCTTGGATTTAGAACTGGGGTTGTGTAAAGTAAGAGATAATAATATCATCAAAAAGCTGATTTATTTCAGTAATTCCATTCAAAAAGTGAAACTTGGATATTATATTCATTCATTACACGCAGACTGATATATTTCAAATGTTTATTTCATTTAATTATGATGATTAAAACTGACAACTAATGAAAATCCCAAATTCATACATTTTTGAATGGGTTTTGTTTCACAATCCTCTCCAGGGTGCGGTTATCCCTATTGCTTGTACACTTTTTTCTACCACATCTTTTCCTTCCCTTCGCCTCTCTATTAATGTGCTTGGACACAGAGCTCTGTGAACAGCCAGCCTCTTTAGCAATGACCTTTTGTGTCTTGCCCTCCTTGTGCAAGGTGTCAATGGTCGTCTTTTGGACAGCTGTCAAGTCAGCAGTCTTCACCATGATAGTGTAGCCTACAGAACTAGACTGAGAGACCATTTAAAGGCCTTTGCAGACGTTTTGAGTTAATTAGCTGATTAGAGTGTGGCACCAGGTGTCTTCAATATTGAAACTTTTCACAATATTCTAATTTTCTGAGATACAGATTTTGGGGTTTTCAATAGTTGTCAGTTATAATCATCAAAATTAAAAGGAATGAACACTTGAAATATATCAGTCTGTGTGGAAAGTTTTACATTTTGAATGGAATTACTGATATAAATCAACTTTTTGATGATATTCCAATTATATGACCAGCACCTGTACACAATGAGGTGTTCTGATACACAAAAATAATGGATTATGCTGAATCTGCCAAGATCATTATATTCTATAGTGCGTACACCATGGCCAGAAGCAAAATATAAAGTCTTGTTTAAATCATGATCTTATCATCTTGATCATATATTTCCAATTTTTTAAAAGTGTTGTCTTGTTAGGCCATTTTAAAAAGTAATAGTTACTTTAGCTGGTAACGTAGCACAGAGGTACAGTTGCTATAGTTACCTGCACTTTAACATACTTGCAGACCAAGTTAGAGCTGAGGTTGCTGTTAGAGTACGTACACTAGGTGATGATCAGTACTTTGACGTATGGGTTATAGCCAGAATAATTAAGCCATCAGACTGGATCATAGTCGTTCTTGTTGCGTGTGCTGTAATGGGGAATCGCTGCTGTTAGTTTTTCCTTCTTAACCAGGTGTGAAGTTACTGTGCTAGAACTGACTACTCATATTTTTGGAGCGGAGAACTTGAGCTGCCTCTCTGGCATGTGAGGTGGGAACTGTAGTATGAGGATGTGTTCCCATTGTAGGTAAACAGATTGAAAACTACAAATCCCATTTGTCCTTTAAAGTGCTACAGAGATTATGTATGTGTGGTAGGCCCTCCCACTCCCCATCAGTCAGTCCTTGAGGTATTACTCAGTGAACATAATTGAGAGCATACTTTGGAAGTGCTGGTCATGTTGCACTCGTCTCATTTCCTCAGCTCATACTTGATTCCAGATCTGCTCCAAAGAGGTGAGAATCAATTAGTTTCTTCATTGAATGCATTTTCTCATGATTGTCGTAAGACTTGAAGGGCAGCGTGATGCTAAAAACTGCATTAAGATTTTTTTATTTCTTTGGTTTATGATTGAAAAGGGCAAGGAACATAGTCAATATGTTGACTATATCAGTTGTGTAAGCTAATGGAGGCAAAGGGAGCCTCTGTTTATCTTAGCTTCTATACCGCTAAAGCTCTTAGCAGCCAGATAGCATCTTTATTGCTCATTAAGGGGCAGTTGGCACCTAGTGAATCACATTGAGTTTGTATAGTGTACTCTGCTGTACAGAAGACTGTACCATTCAAATAGCTAGAAACATAAGTGTTGCTCTGCCACATACAGTGCACGAGTCTATTGCATATACTTCAATTCACTTTGTGGTTATCTGAACATTTCCATAATGCCATGCAATCCATCTTTTTTGTATCTTTTAGCACAGAAGGTTCTCGATTAATTACTGGAATGGTACATGTCCTCTCCTGTGGCCTTGCTACTTCCTGGGTTTAATGGACACCATTAGTGCATTTCAAAAGGCGTAAATGGGATGACAGCATTCAGTGTGTCAGAAAGGTTTCAACTATGCCATGAACCGCCAAATTATGACAATTTTACAACACAGATTCCTTCAGTTTTTCTTCTTCACACTTTTGACAAACACACAGGCTTTGATCGTTTACAGACTTCAAAGGGATATCAACCTAAATTATATTTTTATCCATCTACTTTTGCTGAAATACATTTTTTAGATGTACTTTGCATGGGACACCGAGGACATCTAACTCTCTACACTTATGTATGCTCACACATATTTTTAATTTACAAGAACAAAAACCAAAAGACATAATACTAAATTAATTAATAATTCACTTCACTATTATTTTAACCATTGGAAGATATTACTGCAGGTGGCATTGAAATGGGAGGGGCTCAATGCAGGCAGTAATATATTTCAATTATATTACACAGCAACAAAAGTACAAAGATTTTTTAAATTAATCACACCAACTATATAGGGGTGTGCAGATATGACAAGGATAAAATGAGTCATAGCATTGGAACAATACGCATCAAAACTAATTAACTGCATTAAATGCAGTAGCACATTGTACACATGCCCTAGTACAAGAGTATTTGGGACATATTTACTTCTGATTCTAAATGGTCTTATACAGTATGCACGGTTGTTGAATCAAAATAGAGTCTTGACCTTGAGTAAAAATTTAATCTACTGTGCAGTCATTTAATTGATATAAATCTGAATGAATGTTGTGTTAGTAATGCCAGACCTAAAATTTATAGCAGCTACTTTTAAAACCCTGTTGAGGGCATTAACAATTTCCAGAATTGAGTATTTCGCTAAACTTCATCTAAGACAAGTGATCACAATTTCTAATATTTCATATTTGCAATCAAATGGGCTATGAACAATACTGGTCTAAAGGTAAAATCAGTAACCTTTAATGTATCAGGACTGAATTTTTACAATACAGGGTAAGACATTTTTTATCGCAGGGGTTTTCAAAGTGTGAGGCGGGCCTCCTGAGGGAGGCTCCAAACAGTTTCAGGGGAGGCTCACTGTATGTGCAACAATATTACATTACTTATTATATATAAATAGATCACATAGAATAGCCTACATGTGTGAGAGTTCAGAGATACAGTAGTTTTTGGGAACTGTTTTCCCCCATCAGAGTAAGAAACTAATAAATGCATTAGGACAGATTTTTTAAATTAAACTATTTGGTGTATTGTCTGAGGGGAGGCCCGCAGTCTCAGACTTTGAAAACCCCTGTTCTAGAGGATAGTGCACAAAACAAGAACCATTGGTGCAAAGGCTCTGTTGTCTATAAAGGCAGTTTACCGTTGCATTTACTTAGATTCTTTTTTACAGTAGACATTTGAACTGTCATAGCCAGAAAAGCACAGATGTAACTACTAACATTAGATGTGGCTGCATTTCATTGGTCTGCCTCAGTAAACCAGATGGTGGATGAATACCTCTTGAACTGCAGCGCCTAAAGGGAAGGCAGTCTTAATTAATGTTATTACACAAAGTTAAATTGTCCACTGTGATAAAAGTCTACTGTCTGAATCACAGTGGCTCCGTGGGCTTCTTCTGACTCAGCCAAGAAGTCCATGTTGTGCTGCTTTACCTTTTTTTTCTATATAATTACTGGGCTTTATTTTCAATTTTGCATATTTGACATGTGAACAAGGAAGACATGGGGGAGGAGGGGGCATTATTTGATTCCTTGGGACAGAACAAATTACTCTCTGCAAACTCTGTGGTTCAGCCACGGTAATTGGTTTCCAAAGGAAGTCATAGCCATAGAGTGCACAAGTCAATGGGTTCTTCATCAAAGAATCAGAATATTTTTCAGTCATCAAAATATCTGGGTATGTCTCTCTGTCTGTCAGGTCCTTCAGTGTCACACACTTCCCCTTTCTCCATGGTCATCTCAATATGGCAGCCCATGAGATTGACCAAGAGGGTGTGTCCACTGATCCCCTGTGGTTTGCATTAAGTGTCCCATCTGCTCTTTAGTCAGCTGACTCATTGTTTTTGATGAACTCAATGTGTTGTATTTGTCTTGCATGTGCCCTGTGAATGAGCAGCTCAGATATATATTTTGTATTTCCTGTTGCGCTCAAATGCAGTCGTTTCCACTGTAAATGTTTATATTCACTTGTATGAAGAGTTTGAAGGTGTCTCAAGGAGCCTTGGTGGAAAAGTCTTAACAGTCTTGACTGTGCAGTAAGAAGCAGCTGCTCAGACAGGATCTGATGCAACTTTCTGAGACATTCAAATTTACATGTTCCAGGTTTTACTGATATTCCAAAAAGAATATCAACTAGCTTACAGAGCATCAGATCCCATCTTGGACCTTCCTGCTGCACAAACTAAAACTTCTCCTGCAAGGTTATAAAATGGCTGCATTCTGACTCAAGGTGCAAGTGAATGCAATAATTTGTAGTGGCATCCTTTTCTTGCTCTTCCCCCTTCCCTTCCCTTACCCCACACTCCCCTAATCTATGCCTATCTTTGTCCATGTGTGCTGCGTAGGTATCAAGAGGAGTACAGTATGGACTCAACCAATGCCCAGTAAGTCCCTGGCAGCATCCTGCTTGCATGGCATGGATTGTGTCTGCAATGGTGACTATACACAGGACTGATTTGCAAAATATTTGCAAGCACCAAAGCACATACGTAGCAGTGTTCACTATGGATTTTGAATAGACTGGATGTGGACATAATGCCTTGACTGTGTTTGTTTGGTTATATTACTGAAAAAGGTGTAAGTGGGCAATGCTCGTTGTAATGGTACAGAGTGCTGAGAATAATCCATTCATCTGTGGATACCTTTTCAACAATTGTTGTGGAAAAGACTCTAGGAAACATTTATCTTAACACAGATTTTTGTGATATTGGATCAATCCACAGGAAATGGTGAAAAGGCAGCCTGTGTGTTTTTTATCACCTTATTCTAGGTGTATTATCTGTCTCTTGAGTGAATGTGAAAACTAAAATCTGCGGGATGAAAAATTGGGGAAATGGGTACTAAAAACACCAGCCTGTCCATTTTTTGTGCTATAACTGTATACTGTGCATGCTGCTGAGTCACTGATCATACGAGAGATTATAATGGATTATAAAGTTTTTACTACATTCACTCTGGGAAACTGAGAATCTACAGTGATACCCAATTACTAAGATGTGGTGATAAAGGTGTGAAGTGTGGAGGACAGTAATAGTAGTTCACAGTAAAAGGCTTTTTTGTTTGGAATTCGTGGAAATAATGATTAGCGAACAGCGAATAGGTCTGTGTTGCTTCATTTGTAAAATCATCATCGTAACCAGAAAACATCATTAATCATTATCACAGAGGTCATTTTGCTTTCAGCACCACAAACTTGTATATTTATGACCTACAAAGTGATTAGTGGCAGAATTGGGTATTGGGTAGCCCCTAAGTGCTAAGTGTGCAAGTGCAATACATTTAGATATCTGGTAGGAAAACTAAGGCATCTCTTTCTTTTTCAAAGGATAATTTGAAGTGTTGATTTTGGGTTCATGGCTTGCAGTGATCTTGGCTGATTGATGAAGCCACTAAAGCCCAAAAGCCCAATTGTGTGTTGAGCCAATGTGGGAAGAATACGCAACAACAACCACTGGTGACTGTGATAGGCTGAGACACTTGTCAATCAAGCAAACATGCCCCAGAACATACCTCTTGAATCTGCAACGTATCCTTAATGAAACATTAGTGTTTAGAACTGCTACAAAGATGTGCATTAAAAGAAGTCAAATTAACTATCAAGATCCTTACAGTTTTTTCTAAAATATTTAGGTTATGCATGTTGCAACCTTTTTAAATAGTCTTCTACTTTTACAGTCTATTCGATACGTGCTGGCAGTTCTTCATGTCAATAGCACTCCTCAGCTGTGGTGGGTTACAGCTTGATTGTACTGTACGTTGGAGCTGTGCTACTGTTGGAAAATGTTCCTTGGGGATATGCTAAGTGGAGACCTATAAGCTTGTGTTGACAAGCGAGTGTTCCCTTGATCGCTGTTATCCTCTTTTCAGGTTATTCTGTAAATAGAAATTCAGGCTGACAGAGCATTTTGCATTTTGTGTTACGCACAATGTAAATCACACACACACACACACACACACACACACACACACACACACACACAAAAAAAAAACTGCTCCCTCTTTATTTCACTGCTTGACGCTTTGTACACATTCGGAGTGAATAAGAAAACATTTTTTCTGGTTATGGACCGTAACTTAACTTTTTCCCTTGCAAAAGTACAGTACCAAAGACAAAATACCTGACATACATACATTGATTCCTGTGGTTGCAGGAAAAAAAGTTGTTTTGTTATATCACAGGAAATGTGTACAGTTTCAGCTCGTCAAAGAGCGAGTGCGTCAGTGCACTTTCAGAAAACCACAACTTTTCAGCTCATCAGCACAGTCAAGGGTGATCGGGGTGCATTCTCAGTGGGTGCTTGAAGAACTTCAGATGGTTCCCTCAATATGGAGGAGCATGATACAGAGACATCACTGAGTAGCGGCACTTGGTAGGTAGCAGATTTTTATAACAAAATCATTTCTGGAATGCCTTGAAAATTAAGTGAAATTATCTAAAGGTGTATCTAAAAAAAAAGTTACACTGCATGACCTCGATTTATAAAGACTTGCATCTTGCTGTACTCTTTTCAAATGGGATACTATTACTTAAGCTTTCTTCGTGCGTGTGCAAAAGTTAGTGAGATATGAGCACTCTCTTTTTTTTTTATGAAATTGGTACCTTGTGAGCAAAGAAGACATGTTTTCTTGGCAGTTCGTAGAAAAGTCCAACACCTATACCTATATGTCATGATCACATCACTTACTTAGGCATTAAGATCTCCTCCAGACTGTCAGAGTTGGTAACACTCAACTTCACACCACTGCTAAAAAAAATAGAAGACGATTTGCTTCGATGGCTCAACCTTCCAATCTCCATAATCGGCAGGATAGCAGCAATAAAAATGACGATTTTACCGAAAATTAATTATCTATTCTCAATGATTCCAACCCACCCTACACTCACCTGGTTTAAATCACTAGACTCCATTATCACTCACTTCTACTGGAAAAATAAAACGCCAAGGATAAAACTCACTACACTACAAAAAAGTAAGGTTCAAGGAGGACTAGAAGCACCAAATTTCCAATATTACTCAATGGCTAACCAACTGCAATACATATACAAATGGATTCACCCCACCCAATCCGATATTATATGGCTAGATATAGAACAATCACTATGCAAAGAATTAAATATAGCTGACATACCGTTCCTCACCAAATCAATCAAACAACACACATGTTTTAATGCAGTAACTATAGCTTCCACTCTGACAGCCTGGTGGAAATTTCACCATATCACAAATTCTAAATTAGTTCCATCTAACTTCACACCACTGTGGAACAACCGTGACTTTATAAGCAATAAAAAAACATTGAATTTTCACACATGGGCAGAAAGGGGTATTACCCACATTAAGCACATTTTCAAATCTAACACATTTAGACCATTTCCGCAACTAGCCCAGGAGTATGGCATCGGGAGCAACGAATTCTTAAAATACCTACAAATCAAATCTTCTGTTCTGACAAAAATAAACATCAGAGACACAACTTTAGAACTTCCAGCGGCAATATCAGACTTGGTCAACATTTCCTCCCCAAAGAAACTTCTCTCTAAAATATACAAAATGATTTCAAACCAACTTCAGACCATATACTTACCAACAATAAAATGGGAAAACGATCTTTCAATAGCTCCTGATGCCAGTTTCTGGACCCAAATCTGTAAAAACATCCATCTCATGTCCAAAAATGCAAATCTTCAGTTAATACAATACAAAATACTTCATAGAACACATTACACGGGCAATAGATTAGCTAAAATGGGTTTCACATCAGAAGTTTGCACACATTGCAATCAAAATTCTACAGATACATACATCCATGCAACCTGGCACTGCACTCCAATCAAACACTTTTGGGAAGAGGTCACACAGTCACTATCCACTATAGTTGGCTGCCACATCCCAATGTCGCCTTCTCTTTGCTTGCTGGGAGACCTCACAATAATCACTGATAAAACTATAAACTCTAAAATACTCCTCATAGCTCTAACCATCGCCAAGAAAACTATCCTCATGAACTGGAAAACTAGAAATAAATTACACATTAACATTTGGAAAAATCTTATAACAGACTTCATTGCAATGGAATATGCATCTCCCCTTCATAATTACGCATCTAAAACTGACTCCTGCCGCCCAACACTTTCTGACCTCTTACAGCTGTGAACCCTTTCTCGGTTTTCAACTCCAACTCCTCCCACCTTCTTAATCAACCCACGAAAATTAATGCATTTAGTTGTTTGAACTTGTTCATGTCATCATTGTTATTACTATCTTTACTGTTATTGTTATCGTTGCTATTTTCACTTTTATTTTTTCATTGTTGTAATTGCTGATGTTGCTGTCTTTTGCTTTCACCATTGCGGTCACCACTGCCATCATCATTGTCATTTATTATTAATATCATTATTACCATTATTATTATAATCATCAATATTGCCGTTGTCAATGCTGTATTGGAATTAAGTGTCATTATCATCACTACTGCAATAATTCCCCCCTTATCTCTTCACGGGTTTTTAATGCACCACAACATAGAATAGGGAGGAAAGGAAAAAAAAAAAAAAAAAAAAGAAAAGTCCAATGAGTAGTTGCAGAACATTTTACCGGTGAGTGTGCTCTTTGTGAAGGACACAGAGAATATCACATTCATATATTTGCAAAGTCTCTTTTTGTTGAACAATTCTGTCATGTTTCTACACAAGTTTCCATTTATAAATTTGGAATAGAGTTTCTTCTAAAGCATCAAAATTACATATGCAATATTCCTCTGAACCATCTATTACTTTCTTTCTATTGTTGACATTTTTAGCATAGACTGCTGATAAAAGTAGTCTCTGCCTTGGTCAAAATATGCCTGCGATATTAAAGGTGTACACAGCTTGGTTACATAGCTTTTTTTTCTAGAGGTGTTAATGAAACGTGCTGTCTTTGCTCTTTGTGAAACAATTTTACTTCCAGGTGAGAATCACTGTCTTCATCACGTACTGTACAAAACAGAAGACTGTACTATAAGGGAGGGAGGAGTGAATTTCAAAGGCATCTTTCAATATTAGTGATATTACAATGAGTTCCTATTAAGTTCTCTCTAAACGTTGTTGCTCATCTGAAGTTTTGAAAGTCTTTGTACTTTTTTTCCTAGCAAATTGTTGACACGTTGAAGATCATTCCCGTGTCCTGGAGCATTTTAGCTTTCAGTTGACACTTCCACATGCTTTGTCATTATCTGGCACAAGGAAACGGCCTCTTGGGTTGTTTTTTTTTGTTTGTTTTTTTTACTCTGGTCCCAGAAATGTCCCATTTCTCAGACAGAGTGAGTTTAACTTCATCATCCATTTTATCAGCTTTTCTATTTATAGTTTCATGTGTTTTGCTGTTGTCTCTTCAGGGTTTTGAGGAACGAGGAACATCTCTTTTATGTGAACTTGCCTTTCTCAGGTACTGCCTAGCGTGTTATCTAACTGTTCAGAAATTTACCTTCAGTGCTCTTGAAATCTTCACTTCAGTCAAGAGGAAGATTAATTTGTTTTGTACACTCTAGTCAACAATAAAGTGAGCGGCACTCTTATTATAACTGCACATTTGTGTCAGAACTTTTTGACAGACAACTGCTTTGAATCAGCGTCTATGAGATGCTTATCAAGGCTAAACTATAACAAATTCTGCTGCAGTGCACTTATGAAGCTAGAGCAAAATGCTTCAGGGTTGTCTGGGTCCTTGAACACATCATGTGCACATACAGTACAAACTAGCTAGGACCTTGTCCACGACTTCCATGAACTTACACTGCAGCTTACGGAATGTATTGGTCTCAGAGGACCAGAAAGGACCTGTAGTCTGCTACATCCTGTCAGTCCACATGACACCCAGCTAGTGATTATCCCCCCCCCCTGTGTTCATTATAACATTTCCCACTTGAGGTACCTGCCTTCTGTATCATTTGACAAAGTACTTTAACCATTACCACAGCCAAAGTGTGGCCTGAATCCCATTCAGCTATTTTTGCACTGTAATGAGGCTATTGGACAAGTACCTTCACCAGGATTTAGATCCAAAGCAGAGAAAGATGCCACAGCTTTTGAATATTTATGTCCAAGTGCAATATTTTTAGAATCCCAGCAGCTTTTATATCAGGCACATGAGGGTAGTGCATGGGGAATTTTCTATTTTCAACTGTTTGCTTTGTCACGGCGTGTGGGGGGGAATATAAAACTCTATTCAGGCTATGATAGGAAAGACTCTTGTCATAGTGTTTACAAGACATGATGCAGTATTATTGGTTGATTCTGATTCTATTCCCCTAAGCCTGGAGCTTCTCGTAAACCACGATACAACATGCTGTTTAACTCAAGCAACTTGATTGGTCAGAGATAACTGGGCTGATAACGTGTCTACATTTGCTGCTGTGCCAGCACGTGCACTATGTAATGTGTTTCTACAAAACCAGATACAACAGGATTCAACAGGAAAAGATTTGATCAGAGTCTGCAGAAGCATCAGTTGCACCATATCTTGACTGAGATGTTTTGGAGCTACCCCCCCCGCCCACAGAGTTTCCATGATCATCTAAGCCCCAGGTGATGTTGCACTAGCATAACTGATACTGATGTTCACTTACTTGCCCCTGCAACACATATTCCATATGGTGCAGAACATCTGGTGGCTGTAGGACAATATTTTTTTCCCCATCACTAGAATGAAAGCAGGCATCTGTCAGGCAGATTATCTCGAGGTCAACAAGCTGTTTTATGCTTATTTACAGAGTCTACAAAGCAGTTTTAGTCTCTCTGTGTTTCAGGCAAGGGTGCATCAAATTGTAATCCTATCACTGGCGCGTGTGTGTGTGTGTGTGTGTCAGACGAACACTGAAAGCTTGATTCCAGGTCTTTCCCACTACACTCAATCTTTCTCTCAGGTTACACTTTGCTACTGATAACGATCATTATGATCATGTAGTTACTGACTCTCTGTCACACATTCTGAATGGCTGATGGATAAAAACTAAATGGCTAAAAGTCAACACTTTAACCTCATAGTCATTGTTTTGTTTTAAATAAAATGTGAACAGAGCGAACACAACAGATATGTCTGTCCAAATACTTACAGACTGCACTGCAGGTTTTTCACCTTGCATTCAGATAAGCAGGGAACCCTCATATTGAATTACTGGAGCTACTACAAGGTTGTCACCCCTACCCATACACACATAAATCAGTAGGATTTTTTTTTTCCCAGACATGCCAACGCAATTCTCATGTAAAATAACACAATTGGCAATGTATTACTGCGTTTATTTGAGGTCACAATTCAGTTTTTGCTTTGTTCATATCTTTCTATGTTAAATGTATTTGCAGGTACCTGTAGACAAGCTGGGTAAACATGAAGCCTATGTAGCTCTGCTGTCCATGTCTGCTCTGACAGCTGTGTCAGTGGAGACTGAATGGGTCTGAGCATTGATCGCCTGATTTGCCACCATTATTCTTTATGACAGTGTTTTACTGCTTCTCAGGTGAGCAATCAATACACTTGGTTTATGTGGTTTACATATAGGGGTGTGTGTGTGTGTGTGTGTGTGTGTGTGTGTGTGTGTGTGTGTGTGGATAGCTATGGCTAATTCCTTGTACTGGAAACTCATAACAGCAAGACACTTGAACATTTCCCGCCTTGCTGTATCCATGGCGATATAGCCAGAAGAGGAATAGAGGGGAGCCACTGGAAGATGGTACAAATCTTATGTTCTTTCTTCCACCTACACTCTTTGTCTCCACATACATACCTCCCTTATGACTTGGCTGGCGTTATTGCCCTCCTGGTCTCTCCTCCCTTGTCTTTTTGCACACTGTGCTTATCTTGTCAGACAAGTCCCTCCTGGAGACGCAAGGCCATTGTTACTAACCCTCCATGCTGTTAATAGGCCTGTTGCACTTCCTGCATTCATCTAACCTGTCGCAATAGTTACATCATCATTCATGCTTAAGTGATCACTGGTCAAGCCTATTAAACTAAGTGAGGAACTATAGCTGTTTGATTTCATGTGCTGTTGTTTTTAGGAGATGGTTGTCAGTCACGCTTTTGTGTTAGTGAATATAAACCAGGCTGCCCGTTCACATGCTCATTTATTTATGTAAAAAAACTTGGTCTTTAACCAAGTGATATAGACTGTTGCACAAACTGCAAACAATTGCAGACTATGTGGTTGGGTACTATAGCAAATAGAAATCATTAAACCCTCCTGGGTACCTGTTTCATGCACAAATTGATCAATTTGGATTAATGTCTCAGCAGAGCAATTAAAACCCTTACCTTTAGGTTAAAGTCGGTATTTGTCATGTCTCTACGGTATGAATATGCATCACGGCAAGTGCGCCATTAAGAGAATGTCAATGTATGAAAAAGTAGGCCATTAGGATTCAAGCTCATATGCATTTCTGACTGATTTTGTTGCATTATTAAGGGGAACTGTACATAATAACTCATGGTAAATGGTGGGAATAAGTCAGAAGGGAGAGTTACACAGCTTTTTGTTCTGTGCTAGATTTGCATAAAACTATGCTTTTATACTGGAAACTTTCACCAAACACCATTATGGCTATGGCACAATTAACATTACCAACGGTCTTTCCGGGATGTGCTAATGTAAGGCATAGCTGTAGAATAACAGGATGCAAATTAAGGCCTTGTCAAACTTCAATACATTTTGTGGACTGACTGAAATGCATCCTTGCATTAAGTATCAAACTGAATTGTATCAAAAGTCTGTATCGAATGCTTGCTCAGATTCTAAGTTCTGTTTTTTATTCTTTGATATTTTCTGGTCCAAATCACAACTTTGCTTATTTTAGACTATTTTATATATGGACAGTTCTTGTAAGGCTGATTGTTTTAAACGACAAGGCTGATTTGGTGTGTTTTGTTCAATGTTGCACATGTAGCCTGAATGCAAACAAGATTACATGTATGAATGTGCGTGGACCAAAGCAATTGTCATGTGTTACATTTACTCTAAGTGATGCTTTGTCCCACACCTTATTATATCATGCGATGTAAAGATTTACACTTTTACACATTAGGCAAATGTTTTCTGGTCGTGTGTGTGTGTGTGTGTATGTTGGCGGGATGTGCCGTGTGCATGGCTCACCTGTATACATTTAAACTGACATCATGCCACTGTCGTGCCCCACAGGGTTCAGGTGGAGTTCTATGTGAACGAAAACACCTTCAAAGAGAGGCTGAAGCTTTTCTTCATCAAAAACCAAAGGTCAAGTAAGTACAGCCAACAGGGAGCCTCCCTCCACCCCATTCTCCACTGTTCCCATAATGCAAATGGTAACAAGTTTGCTGCCACTACATATGCTCAGAGCTAAATGAACATATAAAGCATAATATAGGAAATTGAAGTCAGCGTTATCATATCCAATTTTGCATATCCAATTTCTGTCTCTGTTGGGGTTTCATTATTTCATTAACTGCCTCTATGTAAAATGCTGTGTTTTATGGGTGTGCACGCTGAAGCCCAGCAAGAACAGTAGAGTGTGGCTCATTTGCTGGGAAACGAGGCAGGGCTGTAGTGTTTTTCTCAATAGGAGATAAGACTGGCAATGCACAGCATCTCTGAAAGAGACAGTGGTGCAGCTCAGAGGTTTTGTGCTTGGTGTCTGGGATCCAGTCATTTCCAACTAGTTGTAAATGTACTCTATGGGAACTCCATGTGTCAGTTAGAACACGTCGTTGACATATCCTAAGCACTGACATTGCTCTGTTGTCTTTCCTTCAACCTGTGATTGTCACAAAGTCACCACAGTGTTTGACATAACACAACAGAGTCTAATGAAAATGTCACACTTGGCTGCAGGGGTCTCTTGTTCTCTCCCATTGCAGCGCTGTTTGTTTGTCCAGTTTCAAATCATTTTAACATTGATGCTGGCTTCATCTGAAGAGGTCGTGTCACGAGAGATTAGGTAGCGGCAAAGGCTGATTGGAAATGGGTAATACAACTAGCACCACCCTCTGGTGAGCAAGCATTTCTGCAGCCAAGTTTCTGTTTTGCATATTTAGCGGTGCAAATTGTGTGGGTGCTTATCAGCATATGCCTGCACTTATTCAAACAGGAAATTGTGATTCCTCAAACATTATTATCCTTCTCAGCTATTTCTGTGCAATCCCACCATTCATTTATCTTGCTGTGTAATGCGTTGTCATATTACAAGCCCATAAAAGCGCTGGTGTTATTTTGTGTTATTCTTGGAGGGTTGGGAAAGTTATGCATCAGAGGAAATTCATTGTGACAGGGTGCCAGAGCAGCATGGAACTGCATCAGTCACGCTTCAGGAGTTTCGACAAATAAAGCCTCTTTAGGCCTTTCATTTAAGACATTTTATGCACATGAACAACTGGTGTTCCAGCTGTTCTCAACTTTCTATTGAGGTGGGATCTGGCTGCAAACACAGAGGTGGGCATAACACTGGAGGGTCTGAACTTTAGATGGTAGACAAGTGTGAACGTGTGAGATAATGATCAGAGAGCGTGCAGAGCTCTAAAGTGAAGCCAATGACCAAATTACCAGAGACGTAAACAAACTCATCTTCAGGCGATCGTCACTTAAGTGAAGCCAGACCAGTTTTTGAGTAAAGTCAAATGATATGTCTTTGTTGGTCCACAGGTCTGAGAATCCGCCTGTTCAACTTCTCATTGAAGATCCTCACCTGTGCCCTCTACATAGTGAGAGTCAGTCTGGATAACCCCAAGGAGAGCAATGGCAACTCATGGTAAGACTAAGAGACAGAATACTTTCCGTTTTTTCTAGATGTGGCTCTTTTCTCTGTCTTCTTATCACTTTTAATGCTATCTGTCATCATATCATGATTGTGGAGTGGTACCTTCTTTAGTCGTCACCAAGTTTGTTACTGCTGTAATTCAAGGTGATTAGCCCCAGTCACTGATCAGTATGCACTCATGACTCGTGACTCACTTTTTTTTAATTCAATGGTATATTCTTCCGTTACATCACTATGACTACTATTTAAAATATTTTTAGAACATCCTTAATGATGTAGCTTAAGCATAGGCTTGAGGGAAGAAAAGTAAGGAAAGACCAGGTGAGAATGGGCTGTGAATGGACTCAAATGTGCACACAAGTGAAAAAAGAGCAAAGCCCTCTGTGCAGACATGTGGAAGCTGTAGATTATCTGCACTGTGCTCACTGCCAGCAGCTTTTAGAGACACGTTGGGTTTGTTCATTATGGCAACGTACCAACCGATGGAAATGTTTCCCACTGGGTATGTTTCTACTCCCGCACAAACATTCACACACACCTTTTTTGTGTTTCCATTGTTACTCCTTTTCCTTGCAGTGCACTTGGTCAATGTTGGAACAACAGTTGGACTAATACAGCAGAGTCGACAGAAATCAACTGGTATGTTTCAGTCAGAATGGTATTAAACTGAAGTGTGTTCATTTTCTGTGTTGCAATAAAATGGAGATGCACTGAAGAGTGAGAAAAACTTTCTTATGGTTTTTGACAGGGGGTTGATTTTCTGGGTTAACAGACGGGTTCCTGTATGGGCGATACAGGTGAGAGTAGTAACACTCCAATGTGCATATAAATCAAATTCCTCTGCATGAACTGAATTTCAATGCAACCCAAACACACTAGCAGCCTTGTATTAGATAAAAGCATTGTAGAGCACAGTAGTTCCTCAGTGAAGGCTGAGCAGCCAGAAAAGATTAGTTTGCAGTTCATTTATCTCTCTCCCCCCCCCACCCCCTCTCTCCTCCAGGTGACAGTGGCCTTAATCAGTTTCTTGGAGACCATGCTTATCACATATCTCAGCTACAAGGTAAGGAACTGGTCCACAGTGCACAGTTTCTCTCTTTAATCCATGCTGATGTCTTACAGCTGTCTGATCAAAGTCCAGCACTGCCTGTTGGTCCTCTCTCATGGGCAGACAGCTTTCACTGTCCAGTCAAAGTGCCAAGGCACCTACTGTATCAGAGACATGTGGCTGGAAGACTTTTGCCGCTAATTTTAGACTCTGACATCATGCACTCTGTGTCAGAAACAAGTTATATAAACAGGTATGCAGGACTGGAAGGGCTGCTGTTGCTGCTTCTATGCGAGTCATCAAAAGATTCACTTTTGTCCTGTGTTCGTATGCATTTAAAGCAAGTAATGAATGGCAGCATTATGTGTTATATATTCTATAATACAGTAATAATAATACAATATATTAACTCAAGTTTCCCAAAATAGAAGTTTTTGTGTGAGATTCTTTCAGCAGGGATAAGCAGAGAGATGTTTGCTCCTTCATATACATTATTATACAGTATATTAATAAGGTCAACAACATATTAAAATAATGTAATGCAGTCCAATACATCACTAGAAATACAACCAAAATGTGGCCAAAGACCATAACCTCTCTGATACAGCATCAGCAGCCATTAGAAGTTTGCAGTACACTCAGGTGTTTATGTTTTCCGGTTACCCACTTTATTTAGACATCAAGACGTTAAAGAAAATCAGACCCAGTTTGCATATGAACACAATAAGGCAAAAATTATCTTGGGATTTAGGGATATGGGGGCCAAATATGAAGAAGACACCTGTTGAATTAACACCACCTACAGATTTTGTAGATCAAGTCTGCCAGGGTCCAGGGTCCTCAAGTACCGCCAGTCTCAAAAGAAGCTCATCTTTGCTTGGAATTATTAGTTTGCTGCTCTGAGACTGGTAGTGTCTCTTAGATGTATTGTTTCATAGGTTACAGCTCCTTCCCGAGTGGAAATGCTCTAAAGTTTTGTCTGGGTTTTATTATAAACAATTTTATGTCTTTATCTTTTTATGTCTTGCCATGTGTTTTGTTCTCAAGTGTTTGTTTAGGGACTCCTATTGTATTTATTTTATGGGAAGCAAATGTTCAAATTGTATTGGTTTCTTCAGTTGGTGATAAAATTGCCTTGTAAAATCTTTGTCTATTTTCTTTAGTAAGGTTTTTAGCTCCATCATAGTGGGAATCCACCACTGAATTACACCTTGTAAACTATGCTGCACTGTATTATCTGGCCTTTTAAAGTCTGAAGTTTAAAGTCTACACCTTGCCAATGCCAATTTTTAAATAAACTAGTGTTGTTGTTTGGTAATATCCTATCTATATCTAGCTTTCTTTAATTCAGGTCCTTATTGCATACAGAATTCAGCAACACCTGTCTAAAAGCAAACGCAGAGAATGCAGCATATAGTAGTAAACTCTACAAAAAATGTGGTTATGATGAAGAGAGATTTAATTAGAAAAGGTTATGTTAGTAATAGTAATGATAACAACACAAAAATTCTTTATACCAAAAGAAATGTCTCATTTTATTTCTCTCACCCAATTGGAGTGTAAAATGGACAACACGCAATATGCAAAACTGTGTTGTCTGTTACAAAACATTGTGTTCTTGCCACAGGTTACTTCCTCCAATGGTTTAAATTACTAGAATTTCATTTTCCCAAAAACACTCTCGCTGGTTCATTCAATTATTTCCCATCAATTTTCTTTCTAGGGGAACATTTGGGAGCAGATTTTCCAGATATCCTTCATATTGGAGATGATCAACACAGTGCCATTTATAATCACGGTGAGTAATAAACTTAAATAACTGATCAGTTAATCTGTTCCACAAAAAATCACATGTACCTTAATTTAGGCTCGAGGTCATTTTGGTGTCGGATTGTCCCGAGCAAGGCAATAACCTATTGTGAATGCCCAATGTAATGTGGCCCTCATCCCAGACTAAAAATTTCCCATCTAGCCAGCCTTAACGAAACATTGCCAAGGAATATTAATTTTCTTTTTTAACTGAGGAATTGAAGATAATTGTCTCGCAAGTATGTTAACTGATTAGTATTTCACGGACAGATTTGACCCTTAATGTCTTCCGTCTTGCTTTCCTTTCTTTCTTAAGATCTTCTGGGCTCCACTGAGAAACATATTTGTCCCTGTATTTCTTAACTGCTGGCTAGCCAAAGGTGCCCTGGAGAACATGATCGTAAGTATTTTCAATAATGTTTTTATTGTACTGTACAAACTGTAGCACCACTAAGGGCTTTGAAGGCACATCCATCCTGTGGAAGCCGTATTGGTGGTCCTGAGCTCATGAGTAACACTGGCTGTAAGGGCTGATGGGTATATACAATTTAGCTGTCAGAACAATATCCACTTGAGCAGGCTAATTTCTTCCTTTCTTTCTGGTTCATGCACTAGCAATGTATCTTTTTGAAGCTAGTATTATTAGATACAGTAGAGTATCGAACATTGTTGGCATTAACCCTGGTTGCTTTGATAAATTAGCCTGCTGGCTAATTAGTTTTCTCAGGTGAACTGAGTGGACTCTTGTTTGGAGAAAAGATAAGAGGGGCTCGGGTAGAAGACATTTTTTCACGATTATCTAAAAAATTTATTTAACTCAGACTGCTAACTTTTAATTTAAAACTGAACAGACCCGCTGGCATGTATCTTGAATGGATGGTTGCACAGAGAACTAGCTATTACTCTCAGTGTGTTGATCTTCATTATCCCACCAGCTGCAGTTGCTGGGGGTTAGTGATGTAACTGCAAAGCGTGCAAATACTTCCTGTTCCTATACTGTAAATTAAAATGTTAAATTACATTTATTGGGGAGGGCACAGGTTATTTTAAATAAAAGCAGAACGAACAGCAAGGCAAGCCATAGCATCAAAAGGGGTAAGTGCAGGAAAAACAAAAACACTGCAAAGCAATTCAACATAGAAACAGAAAGGATAAAAATGCCTGGTGCGCAGAATTCTGGTGTTGTAGTATCAATATTGTCCAGGATTTACTGTTGGTGCAAAGTGACTTGTACATGGAATTCAAAGCAATTAAATGCTATCCAACTGGTGTAGCGTGTGCTCTTGCTGTGATTCAGATGAGACAACTACAGAGTTAACAGCCTCATGCCAAGGCGGTAGTTGGGCAGATGGTAGAATCTGTGGCCAAGCAGACCAGCACATGGAGAGAGAGCAGTGACAATTTGGAGAGGCGTTGAAGGGAGGCGGTGGCAGGCAGAACATGCTAACAAGGTGCAACTGAAAATGAGTCGTGAGCTCCTACATCAAGACGGACAGAATGCTAATGTAGAGGAAAGCACTATATAATACTAAAATATTGTAGTAAAGAGGAGAGGATTGTGCAGTTGGACATAGTGTTCATTTGCATCCAGACCTTTCTTGTTGTATCCACCAATATAGTGTACACACTCAAAGAAAGTCTAAACAGTTAGTAAATATACGATATATAACGACCTTTTCTAGCAAATGTTTTTGGGGGTTTTTTTTGTTTTTTTTATTAAGAACTTAAAAATTTTGTAATTTTATCAAGATGCTGATCAGACAGCATGGATATTGCACAGGTGTGCCTTAGGCTGGCCACCATAAAAGGCCACCTGAAAATGTGCAGTTCCATCACACAGCACAATGCCACAAATGTTGCAAGTTTTGAGGGAGTGTGCAATTGGCATGCTGACTGCAGGAATGTCCACCAGAGCAGTTGCCCGTGAATGTTCATTTCTCTACCATAAGCCGTCTCCAAAGGCGTTTCAGAGAATTTGGCTGTACATTTAACTGACCTCACAACCGCAGACCACGTGTAACCACACCAGCCCAGGACCTCCACATCCAGCATCTTCATCTCCAAGATCGTCTGAGACCAGCCACCCGGACAGCTGCTGCAACAATCAGTTTGCATAACCAATGAATTTCTGCACAAACCATCTCAGGGAAGCTCATCTGCATGCTCGTCGTCCTCATCAGGGTTTCGACCCGACTGCAACTTTGCACAGCCATTGAAGAGGAGTGGACCAACATTCCACAGGCCACAATCAACAACCTGATGTTGAGATGTGGGATGTGTTACACTGCATGAGGCAAATGGTGGTCACACCAGAAACTGACCGGTGTCCAGACCGAAGTCTTAGAGTTCAGCTCAAGATGAATGGGGACAAAAACAAAAGTTTATAATTTTGTTCAGTGTAATTAACTCTTTTCCTCTGTCCAGAATGACTTCCATCGTGCCATCCAGAGGACCCACTCTGCCATGTTCAACCAGGTGTTCATCCTCATCTGCACCTTACTGTGTCTCGTCTTCACTGGGTGAGTAAACCTTTGTTCTCTCTCTTACTCACAGAAATGCATCTCTGACCACTGGGGCTTGCAAGCCTGTTTACTGACCCCTGCTGCAAAATCTGTTTCCTTAACTGTCTACTGCAAGACCAAGAACAAAATATCTGTGACACAGTTGGTAGTGTGCAGGCCTTAGATTGTTTAGAAGACAATATATATGTTGTAAAAGTAGAGATTGAAAATGTAGTTATACAGCTGGCGTGGCAAACTTTTATTGGCACGTGGTGGGGCCACTGGGGACAATTTGGAAAATGTAATTCAAATTTTTTTTTTCTTCATTTTTTTGTCTTTCATCTTTTATAGTAGCAATTCATTTTAATTAAAGCTGTCACTTCTTAGCTCTTGGGCAGCCTTCTTGTGACTGGGTGCCACCCAGCAGCTCCACTCCACACTGTCCAGTTAGACATCCTCATTCCCCTCTCCCCTCAGGGTTGCACTAAATCTACGACTTATCAATGAAAAAACTAAACAAAATAAATTAATTAGTACAAGCAGTGAGGTTGAAACGACAGAGCAATCAATAGTGTCACTTTAAATGACATACTGAGCAGGATTGACTCCGGTGCCCTTTGATTTTGGGCATATTGGATTTGACATCCAGTCCACCAGGCTAAAACACAATCCTGAAACAGATTACCCTGGAAAAGTATCTCTTCAGATGTATCATTTGAATTATCTTTAACCGTAGGAGACATGTATGATGTAACACCATCACGTCATTGTAGAAATTCTCATCTTTCTGCAGAGCTTGTGGGATCCAGCATCTAGAGAGAGCCGGGAAGCACCTGTCCCTGTTTGACTCGTTCTATTTCTGCATCGTCACCTTCTCCACTGTGGGCTATGGGGATGTCACGCCACAAATCTGGCCCTCCCAGCTGCTGGTGGTCATTCTCATCTGCGTTGCACTGGTGGTGCTCCCACTGCAGGTAATGACTCCAGGGCAAACTAACTTAAGTAAACCTCGTATTAGGTCCTGTCTAATCATCAGCAATTCGTTGATGTTCTGCATCTAGTGCTGACCTTCGTAGGATAATCATCAAATATTAAATGCCATTTTCGTGCTGCTATCACAGGCTGACAGCAAATATAAATCTATAAAGGTGCTTACTTCTCCTGCAGACTTCTTATGCAGCCAAATTGTCAATCTCGCTCAAAATTAAAGCCAAGTAATGCTGGCTCACACTTGCTTCATGATAAATCCACCTTTTCACTGTGCTATTTATTTTTAAAGACCACAGGCATGTTCATCCCTTCAACTGTTGTGATTTGTTCACTGTCCCTGCAGAGCAAATGGGGTGAGAAACAGAAATTAACTGCTGTTGCAAACTAGTGCATCAGCGGTTTTCACTCCGGTGCTTTCACCTTCTGTGTCCAGACAGCAAATCTATCTCTTCTATCTATCTTGATTTATTTATTTAATTGTAGATGCATTTGAGATCACATTGATGTTGTTGTCTTTGTGTCAGTTTGAAGAACTTGCATACTTGTGGATGGAGAGCCAGAAGTTAGGAGGGAACTACAGCCGCCACCGGGCGCAGACAGAGAAGCATGTGGTGTTGTGTGTCAGCTCACTGAAGATTGACCTGTTGATGGATTTCCTCAATGAGTTCTACGCTCATCCCAGACTACAGGTACCAAAACAAAAACATTGGCATTTGTAAGTTGGAGACTATGTAGTGTGTATAAATGCCCCACTTTTTATTGCATGCTTTGAATTTCTACTTCCCCTTTGTAGTTTCTCTGACTTGCGTGAGGGTTTTGTTTACAGTTTGCTGCCATCAGCATAGGAATGATTATATGATAAATAATGACAATAGATTCATGTTTTTTGTGTAGTATTTCTGTGGAATATATGTGGGATCTGCAGTATAGATGTATGGAGGGGACTTTCCGCAGTTATTGCTACTTAAAAAGGTTTAAAGAATGTTTTGCCAATTTTACCCTTTACCCGCATACATTATATAAAGCCTGTTGCATGATTTAAATAAATAGTATATCCCTTGTTTTGCAGGACTATTATGTGGTGATCCTGTGTCCAACGGAGATTGACATTCAGGTTCGCCGGATCCTCCAAATCCCTCTGTGGTCCCAGAGGGTCATCTACCTTCAAGGATCTGCCCTCAAAGACCAGGACCTGATGAGGGCCAAGTGAGCGAAAGCATGGCATGCATGCTTACATTCTAACAGATACAGATAAACATAAATGCATGCATGTTGTTGTGTCCACATTGCATTTAAGCAGATGCAGTCATCTCTGATTTTATCTTTATAAAAGTATAGGCACCAAAATATTGAAATGACTGCCTCCTATCTTGACTGTTGGTTGATGTAATCTGGTTCTAGACCTCTGAATTGCTGCCCATGTGTGCAAATTTTAATATTAATGTTTAGTTTGTAAATGTTATGTTCTTGAAAGGTTTGAGTCTCAGTCAAGCATATAATCTAGTCTAAATTTTATTCATGTTAAATTCTGGACACAAATCTAAACATTCATTTAAAACTTTGTCCTTGAAGTGCAGTTGCAGGATGAGATCCTTACAAGTCCATTTGGCTGCCCTCTGCTTGACATCAGTGTAATTGGATTTCACTCTACATTGATTGTCTGTTCACATCAAAGGCCAGCAATAGTAACTGTGATAGATCACATTGAAATGTGTTTGACCTGTTAATTTTTTCTGTCCCTATAAAACACTGCAGCACCAGCGAGCCATTCATGGTTTTACTTTTGCTTCAGGGGATCTTGCTGCTCTTTATCGCTTGCCGTGTTATGATGTGATCCCAGTGAAATGGGGTCTAAATACTTACCCACACATGATAGTATGAAATCAAGCCATACGTTTGTCCCATCCCTTCCAAGAGTCCCTCTTCAGTGTGCAAACTTGTGCAGGTGATTAGATGCTATAGCAATTTCACGCACTGACATGTAATCGATGAAGTCACCCATCCAGGTAAGCCTCTTACACGCTTGAGCCCTGCTGTGCTGAAAGATTTCCTTGGAATCATATTGCATTTTGGCTCTCTTCATGTTCACAGAACGTGCAAGTCTGCTGTCACAAATGAATGAGCTCTGCCCCTCTCGTGTCGCTAGCACTGCACCCTAATGTCAAACAGCAGCAGACTGTTTTGGCACATTTTGCCTTTGTCACAGGACATTAGCACTTATCCTTGCCTAGTTTTTCTTTAAAATACATATCTCTTTAAATAATGACTTTTACATTTGGTTAAATGTCCTTTTCACAGTCACCAACCTGTGAACCTGCATGTCTGTGTTTCTTTTCTCTTTGTCTCTCTCTGAATCCTCAGGATGGACGATGCTGAGGCCTGCTTTATCCTCAGCAGCAGGAACGAGGTTGACCGAACTGCTGCTGTGAGTCACATCAGTTTGTTTTGTTTCCAGTATAAAAACTTTCACAATTAGAATAATTTAAATGGCACAGTTTCCCTTCCCACTCTACATCCTTTATAAATTAGCAGAGAGAGTTGGACATTGGAGGTTGTGATTCTATTGGAACTTCCAGTGTTGAGAGCACATTGAGTCACTGAGGCAAACTTTATGGTCCATAAAATTCAGATTGCATTTACAAATGAGTCACTGCATGAGTAAAATAGAACCATTTCTTCTCCCATAGGATCACCAGACTATTTTGAGGGCTTGGGCTGCGAAAGACTTTGCACCAAATTGCCCTCTCTACGTTCAAATTCTCAAACCAGAAAACAAATTCCACGTTAAGTTTGCAGGTAAGTGTGGGGACACTACCTACGTACAGAAACCTACAGTTATTTTGCCTTTGTTTTCTTATACATACACTTCTAAGTCTAACATACTGTATTATTGGTCCATTTAAATCAGATCATGTCGTATGTGAAGAGGAATTCAAGTATGCCATGCTGGCACTGAACTGTGTGTGTCCAGCCACGTCTACCTTAGTCACACTCCTGGTTCATACCTCCAGAGGACAGTGAGTACACGCTACTATTTTACTATTACTACAATAAATATAAGCATTTATGTATTTGCATTGAAATCCAACACCCACTGTCATTATGGTCCTGGGAATGGTCTTACCAAAATCATAAACATGGATTACACATGAGGTGATTACAGTTTGGGGCATTGAAATTGATCAAATAAAAGAACGTGCACTCACAGCCAAAGTAATCTAATTGGTTGAATTAAACCTTGCTGACCAGTTTTTAAAGGATTAGTTTGGCATCTTAGGAAATGCATTCTTACTATGAGTTAAATGAGAATATTGAAATGGTTAGCTTAGCATAAAGACTGGAAACCGGTAACCAATTTGCCTACCAATGGATTTTTGAACAGATAAAAAAAACTAGTGATAGAACAATTTATTGGTCTACGAATTGATTGATTAATTCTGATATCTGGCAATTGGAGATATTCGTCATCGGCCTGAATGCCAGCACTCAGAATGCCAATAAACAAAAAAATGTCTGCGGACACATCGGCAGGCTTCCTTGTCAGCGAAGCTGCTATGGAACAATGTTAGCTCTCCCCCTTGTGAGATTTGGGAAGGTATACGTTAACACGTTTGTCTCATCCTAAATGACAGTGCGCGCGTGTGTGTGTGTCTCTCTCTCTCTCTATCTATCTCTCATCTATCTATCTCTCATCTATCTGAGAATAATGCATTTGAATGACGTCACTTGTGACCAACTGTACCCCACTTTCCCATAAACACCAGTCATATCTACAATATAACCAAATGTATTTCAGGCAAACGTAATTGGATTTTACAGCTTTCTTGAAATGTTGGCTAAGCTACCGAGTGACCCTAGATAAATGATGAGATGGATGTGTTACCTTGACATGGTTTTGAACAGTAGCAGGACAGCTTGATCTCTTCACTTTGACCTTTTTTCATTGTGTCTCAGCCTGACATTATTAATCTAAAGCTGATGTCGTACTCTGGTTCCATCTATTGACATTTAATTGAACCAGTGACATTATTTCTGCGTTCCAAAGCAGCTCAACCTCCAAGAAATGTTTTTCTGAAGTAAACTTTCAGTCTGTCTAGCTTCGAGTGCTCTGTGAACATTTAATATCCTGTTGTGTCGTTATTCACATGGACAGATTCAATGCCACAGGATAACTTTAAGAGAAATATGATTGATACTCCTCCAGCAGAGGTTTTACAGTTATACAGACTGTTCCTGGTATATGTCTGCTGAGCTGGCTACTGTACCGTCACCACTGCAGAAACTTGTCACTGTCAAGTCAGTAAACATTACCCTGCTTCTTGTTAGGCAATAAATCTGGCTGCTTTTTTCTTATTCTGTGCAAGGTGACCACCATATATATCTTCACTGCTATCCAAAGCAGAGGCACAGTACATCCATTTTAATTTCTATTATGGGAACATGTATTGGCTTGAGGCTGTGAAGGTGAGAGGAATGGGAATAGATTTATTTTTGGCAGGTATTTAATTCAAACATTCTTATATTGATTAAAAAGTAATTAAGTACATGAACTGGCTAAATAAATTTATCTCATAGCCTTTTCTCATTTTTCGTGACTGTGACTAGAATTTAGGAGGCTGGGGAGTATGGGGTCATGAAAGGTTGTCAAATGTCAGACAGATTTATCGGTCTATGGAGATCTGAGACCTGTTGAATTGCAAATAAAGTCAAACTTGAGGTTGTCTTGGAGGTAATAGGTATATGCTCATTCTGGGCGCTAGTTTTGTGTTTGTTGCTAGGTTCACCCCGGTGTGTCAGCCAGAACACCACTTAAGGCCAAATCCTCCAGTATGAAATTAAGAGCTGAGAGATGGTATTTCAGCTGCGTACTTCTTCCCTTTTGCAGTAACACATCACAGGTATTCCAGTAGTCATGCAATAACAGCTGAGTGTTTATGCCTGGTTGTGGTTTATATTAGAGAAAGAATACAATAATAAATAAAGGATAACATATGTTTTTACCAATATGCAAAACATTACCAAACCTAATATAAACAATATGACCAAATGTCTCTTGAACTTCAATAATTGTAAACAGAGAAAATCGCTACAATTACATTTCTCTCCCTTTCACACTGCCCTAGCATTGTAAAACACTCATTACATGGTATTGTCAAGACTGTATTGTGATACTGTGTAATGTAATTTATGATTTGTATTAAGTCCTCCTGCCAGGTGAGCCGAGGTTTATGAACTAGTGTGCATGAAACCAGATATAATTAGAGATCACATGGCGAGCACCTAAGCTCTGAATTCTTATCCACATTGGCTAACGGGAGTTATCTATAGCTGCATCAACAGAAGGAAGGAAGGAAGGAAGGAAGTAATGCAACAGATAAATTCTCACTCTTTTTCATTCATGCACAGATCACTTGTAAGGATCTGTCTGCGCAACCATAGTCCATCACTTGACGAAACCACTGAAGCCTCCTGCTTTTAACTGCCTGACATCAGTTACAGTAGACCACCAGTGTGTTGCCTGCCCTGATAGAATTACCAGCACTGAATAAATAGATACAGTACATTAGACATAGAAGATGACGGTACTTAATAACACTAACTTGTAACTTTGGGATCTTTTCTAGGTGTATTTTTTTTATTTAATTGAAATGACTCTTGAGTTTTAAAACAAGTGAAAAATGAATGCCACCCCCCAGTGACATGTCTCAGACAAGGCCTTGCCAGCTGTCGATTAGTCCATTGTAGATGTGTGAAACTTCATGTTATTATTGTTGCTGTTGTTTCAGGGAGGGGCAGTTGTCACCGGAGCAGTGGCAGAGGATGTATGGGCGCTGCTCTGGAAATGAGGTCTACCACATCCGCCTGTGTGATAGCAAGTTTTTTGGGGAGTATGACGGAAAGAGCTTCACCTACGCCTCCTTCCACGCCCATAAGAAGTTAGTGAAACTTCCACTACCTTAATCTTGTGACACATAATAGCAATATTTTACCTCATGAGGGTGAAATCTCTGGGAGCAAAAGTAAAAAAAAAACACACATGGAGCTCAAGGCCCATTGTGAACCTTTGCAGGTATGGCGTGTGTTTGATCGGAGTGAAGAGGGAGGACAACAAGAGCATCCTCTTGAACCCCGGCCCCCGCCACATCATGGCTGCCACTGACACCTGCTACTACATCAACATCACCAAGGAGGAGAACTCGGCCTTCATCTTCAAACAGGAGGAGAAGGACAAGGGTCTGTCTGTCACCGGCCTCTACGACGCCCCCTCCAGGCTGCCCGTGCACAGCATCATCGCCAGCATGGGTGAGACTGAGCGCAAAAGGCAGAAAAAAATTATGTTTAGAAGTTGGTAAAGAAAGAAAGATAGAAGATGTTTGTAGTGGTCAAAGTGGAACGATTCAGATTGCAGACAGGCGTACAACCAATGTCCGCTTGAAAGGGTTTCCATGTAAGAAGAGAAAATGGATGCTGGACATTTCCAAATGGTGGCTGCCTTGGTGATGCTGTGTGCTTTCGCTGACTGTTATGCATGATTTTTTTCTTACATGCATTTTTACTTTCTTGGCTGACATTATTGTGTTGTGCTTTTTCTTTGACCTGTGAAAGTTGATCAGGCCACTTCATATGGTAAGTTTGTGCATGATGCGTCACCTTTTTACACTTGACACTAGTCCTGTTATGTGATGAAATAGACATTTTTTACAGCTGATAGAATGATATACACTGTACAAGACACGGTGATATTTCATTGTTGTTTAACTAACACTCGTCCTAATTTTTAGTGATTTTAATTTTTTTTTTTTACTTTTCCACGTAAAAGATGATATATGTATTGTACATATATCATGTACCTGATATTCCCGACATATGTATTGTACATATATCATACATCATATTACATACAGATAATATGATTTATGTTAGGGACAAATTTATTGACAAACACACAATGTCTTATTGTTTGCATGCCATTTTTGGTAGCTTGAGAGTACAGTTACATGATCCAGAAGCAAGACATTTTCTCCTCACGGTCAAACTAAGCTGAGCTAAAAATGATGGTGGGATTGTTGGTGGTTAAGTTGCTGAACAAGCTAAACATGGACCTTATTTTTTTTTTTTAAATAAGCATTTTTTTGGGGGGTTTTCTGAGATTAAAAAGTCACGCTGTCATCATGGCGTTTATGTTTCAACACTGATACCTTTAGATTGCTCATCATACTGGACCCACATGTAATTTTCAGGCACTGTAGCCATAGATCTCCAGAATCCTGATCCTCCTGAGGAAAGCAGCAAACTGACCTTGCCGACGGAGAACGGTGCTGGAAGCCGCAGGCCGAGCATCGCACCTGTCCTAGAGATCGCAGACTCCTCCGCTATTCTGCCTTGCGACCTCCTCAGCGACCAATCAGAGGATGAGACCAACCAGTCAGACGACGAGGGCTCTGTAGGGTCAGAGTAAGTGGGAGTAAAAAGGGGCTTAGACATTAATTGACCCCAAGAGATTTGGTGGTTTTGTAGAGTACATAATATGTCTAGTCTTGCCGCAGTAAGAAAGTCCTCACAGTGCGAACGTCCTGCACTATATACTTGATTGATCTCACCTGTCCTCCTCTTCACCATGTCTCAGTGGGTGTAGGAGGAGAGATGGATGGGTTTGGGAGATGCGTGTAATCTGTATGTCATAGTGCTGTAATGTGTGGACATGGCAGTGATGAATGTGTGTGTCGTGACATGGAGGTCAGCACTTTTCCTCTCGAATAAAGCTCATATTGTGAGTCCTTACGCAGATCCTCACCCCTCAGCCCTCATCTATCAGTTGTCCAGACAGATAGTCGACCATGATTAGAGTTTGGCAAATCAGAGGTTTACGTTTATCTCAGCAGCTTCATTCTTCTCGTTTCTCTCTCTGTATGTGGTTTAATTAAACGGAGATAAGTTCAGAATAGATTGGGCGCTTGTGCCTCACACTCGGTCCATACTAGTCTTTTTGAACAGCAACTGTTCATAAGGTCTCATAAAGTTGGGCCCTCCTAACCTCTGAGCCTCTATTACTGCGCCCCATGACACTTTTGTAGCAGTAGTTTTTTCTTCTTTTAGAGTTGTCAGACACATCAGTTGGGGAGAAGGAGGCAACTGCATTATCTGCAGAACACAGGCTGAGTAGCTTAAAGTCCCACAGTGCCATCATGTGGTGCACAGGTTGTAGCTGCATCTATAAACAAAGTCAGAATCTTTATTGGCAAACTAGAGGGCACCGAGAAACAGATTAGGGTAATTGCAGCTGGCACATTACAAATCAGGGGCATGGAAGCAAATTGCGAAACAAAATGAGACATGATTAAAACTAAATAGGCTACGAAAACATTGTAATTGCTGTAGTAGTAGTAGTTGGTATTGAGCAGTAATAAGTCCTTCAGGGTTAGAAACATCATGCATTTAAGCAGCTGCGGAATTGAATAATAAACTAAAAAGCAGAAACGTCATTATTGGTCATTCATGGTGACATTTGGTATGATAAAGTAATGATGGGAATAATGAAGAGGGATTCAGTGATACTCCCATAATTATTTGTGAGGTAGAAACATTTACACCCTCGTCATTTTTCAGTTTGAAGTCCGCAGTACTTTTCTGTGTTGTTCAGCAGTTCCTTTCCGAGAAAATATGGGAACAGCCGTTTTAACAGACTGTTTTAAGTAACTGTGGAAGGGAAGGAAAGCAAATACTTTTTCCTCAGAGGCATTTCTTGTTTCTTTTGCATCAGTTTTGTGAAGGGCTACCCTCCCAACTCACCCTACATCGGCAGCTCTCCAACTCTGTGCCACCTCCTGCCACAGAAAGCTCCCTTCTGCTGCCTCCGCCTCGACAAGGTAAATTCACAGGCAGGAAAAGACGGCATCAAACTAAACCACAAGAACTCACTGTAAAATTTCGACATGCTTAAACCTTTTTTTCCACCATCTGTTTTATTAAAATAGACAAAAACACAACTGAAATGTGATGTGTCTCCTATGAGCAGAGTACAACTAAAACCTGACTTAATGTACTGTTGAATTGTCTTTCTCTATCCAGGGCTGTACACATAGCAGCTTTGAGGATGCCAAAGCATACGGCTTCAAGAATAAGCTGATAATAGTGTCTGCAGAGACGGCGGGTAATGGCCTCTACAACTTCATCGTCCCTCTGCGTGCTTACTATCGGCCCAGGAAGGAGCTCAACCCAATAGTGCTGCTGCTGGACTACCCGTAAGGACAGCCGTCCTCTTTATTTGTTTGTTTATTAGAAAAATGACTTCAAACCCTCAAGAGTAATGTCTTTTTTTTTTATGTAGAAGCTTCTAACACATGCACTACATACACCTATGATTATATAATATAACACAATAAAGATGTGATTGAACCTGGTTACCTAATGGCTTGCCATAGCAACTGATAAAGCAAGCTTTTATCTGTTCCTCCTTTTTTTGTATTAGTTTTTAATTTCAGTAATTTCAGAGTTGGACATAAATACAAACTCATCTGGTGTTACTTTTAATATGAGTGCCATAAATGCATGCGGTAAAGTAATTACAGCTATAGGCGTAGCTTGAAGTATATGTGGTAACCTTCCCTCAAGATAAAGAAAATTTATATTTTACATTATTGGGAAAAAAAACATCCTCCATGCAGAAAACTGAATATAAGTTGAAAAGATGCAAAGTAATGTATCTGTGTGTGCCTGTTTGTGTATATTTGCAATCGTTTGTGGACGCATGTGTGCTTGAAATGGACTTTTTTTAAAATGCACCAGTGATTTATATATTTGCAATTTAAAACAAACAAATTGCTTCTTTCAGTAGAGAGTTGATAATGGCAGATAAAACTATGGGTTTGCTTTGCTTCAAGATAGAGGGGGAAAAAATAGTGTTTGCATTATTCATAAACAACAGTTCTCTCTATGCAAGAAAGCTTTTGTTTTGTGTATAAGGGTATGTATACATATTTGTGTTTGTGGTTTGTGTGTTGCAGTGAGCCACTGAGCCACAACTGTTTTTCTGCTCTAACTCACTGTGGATTTCATTAACTTTGGCCAAATCTCTGTGGTTGCTGAAACACAGACGGAGAGCCAAGAAACTCTGGCTTAGTGACACCCTCAGTGTTTCCATGGCAGCAAGTTAAATCTTCCCATTCACTTGAAGAATTAAACATGTTACCCTCTTGTTGGCTAATAAAACAATAAATATTCTTTAAATTATATCTGGCCCACCCACTATTCAGGAAATTACAGCAACAATGTGATAATCTGCCTGTGGGGTTTTACAAAGATAATTAGTGTGGGATGCTTATTCGTGATGTTTCCTGTTTCCTGCAGGCCAGACAACCACTTCTTAGAGGCGATTTGCTGCTTTCCAATGGTTTACTTCATGGCTGGCACTATCGATAAGTATGTGTTTGGATTATTAAAAACCTGCTAATTTGATTAACTAATTTAAAGATCATGTTCAGTGATATTTTTTACATTTTTCATACAGCTAGCAGTAGCTTCAATATTACATACATGTATCATAAATAAAATGCAATGTACTCAAGATACAAGGTAGATTTATTTGTCACACTACAACAGGTTGTAACGTGAAATTGAGTTTGGAACTCCCTTCCGCTACGTAGCAGACAATAAAAGCAATCATTACAATGGTAGACAGAAATTATTAAAATTAAAACTATAGTCAATGGAGCAGTGCTGAGGATGAATTTGAGTTTAAGAGTCCGATAGCTTGGGGAGAAAGTTGCTCTGCAGTCTGGTGGTGTGGCAGCAGAAACTTCTATATCGCTTCCCAGAAGGCAGCAGGGTGAACAGGCTGTGGCTGGGTGGGTACTGTCCTTTAGGATCTTTGGGCTCTGCAGGCACTTCACCTCACCGATATCACTGAAGCTTGGCAGATGGCTACCAATGATCTTCTGAGCAGTTTTAATCACCTACTGCAGAGCCCTCCGGTCCTGGCCCGTGCACATCCCATGCCAGTTTGTGATGTTTCAGGATGCTTTCTATTGCTCCTCTGTAAAAGCTGTCAGGAACTTGCCGTGAGAATTTGGTTTCTTAAGCTTCCTCAAGAAATTCTTCACCAACATGGAGATGTCAGATGACCATGTCAGGTTCTCTGTGATGCTGATTCCCAGGAACCTGAAATTGTTCACCTGCTCCACCGATGTAGACAAGAGTGTGTGTCTTTATCTCCTTTTTCCTGAAATCAACGATCAGCTCCTTAGTTTTGCTGACGTTGAGCAGTAGGTTGTTCTCTGAGCACCACTCTACAAGATTATCAGTTTCCTTCTGATATGAAGTCTCATCGTTGTTTGAAATCCATGGTGGTGGTGTCGTCCTCAAACTTCACAGTAGAGTTCTCTCAGTGTCGGGGGATTACAGTGTGAACAGGAAGGGGCTGAGCACACAGCCCTGGAGGGCTCCGGTGTTGAGCACTAGAGTGGAGGTGTCAGGTTTGTCTGCCAATCTGAACTGTCTGGGGTCTCGTTAGTGCGTGTCTCAGAACCTGATGAAAGGAAACTTTTTAAAGGTAGTAAAAGACAGCTATTGGTGGATTAATAGATCCATTATATTTATTTTGTTATTACCACATGTAGCTGTTCAAATGTAGATAATGATAGGTCCGGCTTAGAAATTCCCAGCGCAGCTACACTAGAGTTTGAGACACCAATTTAAGAAGAAAGTCTAATGCAACAAATGCAAACCTGGATTGCGTTGCACCAGCTGAATGTAAGTCCTTCCTAAGTTATTAGTAACTACTAGCAAGTTTCAAACTAGTGATTTACTAAATCAAGTCACACCTTTAAATCTTAACAGAGTTTAGTTGGTAATGACTTCAGTAAATACCAAAAAATATTGCTGGAAAATTGGGGATGATGTTACTGTAGGTTTTAGAGTAAGTAGTATTCATGTGATTTAAAATGAATGGGGAACTTAATGCTATTTGGTAATTTGGTGTAATGTTATTAGCCAGGCATTTTATGTGTGATTCTTTTGAAATGTATTTCCATTAAACAGCAATTTGATCAAGTATCAGGACATGTCAATTAATTCAACTATTTTGCTCAACAGGTCATATAACATTTGTGTCATTAGTTAGATCAGTTGGCTACGCAGCATTTAGAAAGTATTAGTACGACTACTAATATTTATATAATGCACTAGTTTTTGTGGTGCAATCCATTTTTAATTTAGTGATGCATATACTAACATATGCTTTATATAGTTACAAATAACTTGGTAACTAGCTGTTGCAACTTGCTCCTATTCTTCTAAGGTTGTTCAGCGCAGTTCCATGAAATGTTGGATATTTCAAAATAAAGTATAAGTAAATCTATGTTTGTGGAAAATGTTTACACTAAAATAATTTGCGTTGAACATTAAAGTAGACGTTATACCATTGCCATAATATCCAAAAGTAATTAACTTGTTTTCTGACTGGACCAGCTTGGACAACCTGCTACAGTGTGGTATAATCTACGCTGACAACTTGGTGGTTGTGGACAAGGAAAGCACCATGAGCGCTGAGGAAGATTACATGGCCGACGCCAAGACCATCGTCAACGTCCAGACTATGTTCAGGTAACACAGAGAGAGCATTTCACTGTGTAGAAACATACAGTGAACAGTCAGCACTTTCAGTGGCTGTTTATGTATTGAGCTGGACCTTCAAGTTTTGGTCCAAATGTGTGCACCAGACTCCACTTGATTAATGCCTTCGTTTGTACTCTGTAAGATGCTGGAGAGTAAATGCTTGTGTTTTTAGAGTTTGGAGAATGAGTTAATCTCAAAGACAAACTACAGTTGCCACAGTTGCTACAAGTTCTGAAACTACTCTTTTATTTATCAAAATTAAAAGCATTTATCACGCCGGGTCTTCACCTCAGCACAAACATTTTATCTCTCCACTAACTTCCCTCTCTCTTTATCTCCCCCCTCGCTCAGGTTGTTCCCCAGTCTCAGCATCATCACTGAGCTCACACACCCGTCTAACATGAGGTTCATGCAGTTCAGAGCCAAAGACTGCTATTCACTCGCCCTCTCCAAACTGGAGAAGGTGAGCTGTTGAGGAGGGCGAACCATGTTAAGACTGGCAATGATTTTGTCATTTTCTTTTCTGTCTGAAAGGGACAAGTGTGAAACTCTGTGATCCATCCATGTTTTCTGGAGCAGTGTAATGTTAAAAATTAGGCTAACCTTTGTAAGCACCTTGAGTTAAAACCATCCAAATACTTGTCTTTACCAGTTGCTTCTGTGGGTGAGGATGGAGGGAATAATGGTTTATCTTTCCTCTCACCCTTAACTCTTATTGCAATGTGAAAGTAAGTTTTGTAAGTTTTCAGAGGTGAAAACCAACAGGCCTTTTCATTTCCACACAAGTCTTCTTGGAGATGGAGCAAAAGAGCAATACAAGAGTTAAACGAAAATTTAAGGTTTTAATATATAGTTTCTCTGTTCCTCAAATCTATATATATATTTTTTTCTGTTTCTCTCTTCAGATAGAGCGTGATAAGGGCTCCAACTTGGCCTTCATGTTCCGGCTGCCGTTTGCTGCAGGCAGGGTGTTCAGTATCAGCATGTTGGATACACTGCTTTACCAGGTGTGATAACAAAGACAGACTTTTGTTTGGTGATTTCATCAATCTTAGCTCTTTGTGCAGCTCGATTACCTCAAAGCAAGTTAAGGAATAAACTAAAAGGTCCGCTTGTAACTGAAAGGTTTTCTAGTAATGTTCACTATCTTTAAATTGATAGTTTCATGTTAAAAGTAAAAGCAGTTTCCCCTAGACGTGGGTCCTAGATGAAAAGCCTCTAAAAGAAGGTTCTCTGCAAAGGTACAACTTTCTACAGACCCATATTTAAAGGAAAAGCCCCTCCCATACACAAAGAAATCACCAAAATGGGTATACATAAAAAGGAAAATGATTGTCACCAAGTAATTCCTATCCTGCAATGAACAACACAGGTTTATGTAATGAAACAGTGTGGAAGCATGTATTTTTTAATAATTTAAAAAGATTGATTTGCCCAATATGTTGGGAAGCACACAGACACCAATGCCAAACCCTAATTGCTGCCCAAGTTGTTTACAGATGGGCTGATTTACCACAAGTGAAAACTTTTTCACTGCGGTCATTCTCTGTGTTTTGACAGTCATTTGTTAAAGACTATATGATCGCGATTACAAGGCTTCTTCTTGGTCTGGACACCACGCCGGGCTCTGGGTACCTGTGTGCTGTAAGTAGGAATAATAATACTTCTAAGCAAGGGATTTGTGTATCTGAGTAAGTAAGTGAGCGCGTAACGGTGTGTACTTGGTTCCTTTTCCCCCTCCTCAGATGAAGATCACAGAGGAGGACCTGTGGATCAGGACTTACGGCAGACTCTTCCAGAAGCTTTGTTCCTCCAGTGCTGAGATCCCCATAGGGATCTACCGCACCGAGTCGCACATGTTCTCAACCTCAGAGGCAAGTTCAGTTTAATATCTGAGACCTCACTTTGGGTTTGGTTTCAACTGAGGCATTTTTGCAGCTTTAGCTTCCTTCCATCATCCATCCTGTCTTTGTGTTTTCTTCATTCATATTTAAATTCTTCCTTAAATTGTCATTATGTTCTTCCTTGATTTGAATCTTTTCTGCTTTCATTTCTCTTCTCCTGAAATGTCATATTCATTCCATTTTCTTTTCTTTCTCCATTCTCCCTCCGGTTTATTATTCTTCCTAGCTAACCTCCTTTTTCTTCTTCTTTTCACCTATCATTGTTTGCTCCTTTATGCATTAATTTCTTCTGTTTCATGCCAAGTAGAGAGAAATTGAAAACATGTTCCTGAATCCTACAGTTTTTGATGCATTCCTCATAAAAAAAAAAAAAAGTTTACTAATCACAATGATTAATAAACTCACAGAAATTAGCCTCTAAATAATAAGTGGCATGTTACATACAGTAAGTGGCTGGTATAAGAGACACACTCACCAGCCACAAACTACTACTACTACTAGAAATGTACTATTCATGGCTAGTGTTTATATCCCATTATTTTAATAGTGAATGATAAAATAGTACACCGTACTTACTATTTCATGTGCTGACTTTTGAGGCTTTCAATGATTTTGTTAGCTTTGGATGCCCCCATCTTTCATTGCATCTCCTTTTTGTTTGGATGTCTGTTTGTCCTTCTCTTGTTTCAGTGCAAGGACAGTTATGCACAGGTAAGATCCAAATGTGCTTGTTTTTGATTTAGATATTTCTGTCACCTCTTGCTTAAAGATGAAAAATACCTTACTGGCATTTTTCTGGCATTTATCATTACATAAAGTTCATGACCATCGCAGCTTGATAATGCAGGCTTCTGAAAATAGCACTTAGCAAGGCACTAGAGTCTTTTAAATCCATACAGACTAAAATAAAATGTCAAACAACAATACAGGATTATGAGCTTACACTAACATATGGACACATAGTATCCAGCATTAACACAGCCGCCCTGCTTTCACAGTCTCAGGTGTCTATCAACGTGGAGCAGGGCGTGGAGCATCGTGAGCGTGGAGAGCCCTGGAAGGAGAAGACGAGCCACAGAAATTCTACCACAAGCGACCAATCAGAGCACCCGCTGCTGAGGAAGAAGAGTATGCAGTGGGCACGGCGACTGAGCAGGAAGAGCGCCAAACCATCCAGCAGAGCAGAGCGCATCTCGCAGCAGAGACACAACCTGTACCGGCGGTCTGAGCGGCAGGAACTGTCTGAGCTGGTCAAGAATCGCATGAAGCACCTGGGCCTGCCCACCGTGGGATATGGTGAGGGGAACAGATGATGGCATGATATTAGAGAGAGAAGTGATAGGCAGTCGATGGATTTGCTTTGTAATGTAGAAGTTGATTTATGGAAGTTGACGTGTAATTCAATGCTGTAGATTTACAATATATGACCAACTGTATAGCTAACTAACACACTTCAGGTGCTTATTAACAATTATTTAATGTAGGATTGTTTTTCATTTTATTTTATTTTTTATTTAATCAGAAATGTACCTGGAAATGAATAACAATGTAAATTATAATGTTTGTTGCAGATTGGAGTCTCAGTTCTATAAACATTTCTCTAAGGCCACAGCAGATCTGGAGGCAGAAATAATGTAATTGGTTGTTAAACCTAAGTGGGTAGAGCCTAAGAATCTCAGGTTTAAGGTGAGAAAAGAAAAACTTAAATTAAAATGGTAGTGGCCCTTTTTTATATTCTTAATCATTGTCATGGAAGATCAGCGTTAACCTGTGTAGCTGTGGGCTTGTAAGGCCAGTTTGAACTATAATCTGGGTCAGTGAAATGAATGAAATCGCATAAGGCATGTAGAGTTGCAAATTTGTTGATTCAATCAAGTAGACGATTAGTTGATTGGCAACCATTTTAATAATCAGTTAATCACTGGAGTAAGTTTTTATCGTTGTAAACTATCGTCACACAAAATATATTTACATATTAAACAATTAATCTATAATAATAATTAATAAATAATGGAAATAGTTGCAGTCCTACTAACATGATCTCACATACATATTGGTCTGAGAACACTAGCTGCTCTGTGAACACTTCACTGAGCGTCACTTGGATAATGTGTCACGTAATTCAAAATTAAATGATGTGTGGGGGAGACTCCATTGTTATGAAAGGTGATTCTTGAGTTCAGGTGATTCTTTTGCTCCACCCACTCTCAATCGATTAAATTATTCCAGTCGTGAGAAAAGCTGTGTTTTGAAAAACTCTCTGTTCCAGTCATTTTATCTCATCTCATTTCCTATTAAGACCTGGTGCCGTGGGTCTTGATAGTGCACATCATTAACATCACGCTAACATCATCATTAACCTCCAGAAAACCTAATTTTCTGATATCAGTTTCACACTCAAACTCTTCCTTCATGTGCCACAACATGTACACACCACTACATAGTCACCATCATACCAACATATGTAGATGTGAACAAGTCATGCATGGAGATGCAGGAGCGCTAAACCTTGTACCAATTGCATTTGATCACAGACTGCAATTGCCTGCACTCTAATCTGCTCTTTTTTTTTTTTTTTTTTTTTAGTTCTCTCCTCCCAGCTTCACGCTTCAAAACAAAAGCAGAATCATGCTCCAGATGTGTTGCACCTGCCAAATATTATGTAACATTAAGTTAAATATTTTTTCAGGAAGAACCCCAAAAGCTCAAGATCTTCTTATGAACCACGAATGTCATGTGACAGATGAATAATTTGGAAGTGATTCTGTGCACACACGAATGCATGGCTTCTTTGCATTGCTCTCACCTTTTTTAAAAGTTATTTTTTGAAACTGCAAATGCATTTGCTGCCTGCCTGAATTTTTTTCTTTTTCTTGTTTTCTCCTCCTCCTCTGTTCCTTCCCTTCTTTCTCTCTCTGACTCTTCTGTCTTCCCTCCTTATGCTTGTAGAGGATGTTTCTAATCTCACTGCGAGCGATGTCATGAATCGAGTAAATCTAGGATATTTGCAAGGTAATTTGTGTGCTGTTTATAACTCCTTTACAACACGTCCATCTTGTGGAGAAAGGATTTGTCCTTTCACCAGCATCCACTGAAGAGTAGCACACTGAATTTATCAACAGAACTAGATGGATCCATTTTTAGAAGAGTTTGTTTTTTCCCACTCTTTGTTTAAATGATATAAAATGTGTAGTTAATTATAAATGAACAAATTAGGCCATTGAAGTTTAACAGTGAATGCCATTGCTTAGAGTTGCAGGACATTTCAGAGCACCCGTATACAGAGGGGACCAGGCTGTCAGGTTAGCTGGTTGATCACAGTACTGCAAATTTACTGCATGAGTGTGTGTGTGTGTGTGTGTGTGTGTCCTGCCAGAATGAGTGGTAGATCAGCAGCCAATCTCTCGCTCTACTATCTCTTTCTCTATCTATCTGGTCTTTTCTGCATTGTGTTCCCGTGAGGTGACGTCCCAAATGGCTAGAGTACTGCAGGGCATAAGAGTATGGCTTTAGGAATGGAGCGGAACGCATTATGTCTGTGGATGGAAGGTTAGATGTAAATGTATAGCTTATAGGTATATAAATAATAAATTTTTTCATGGGTGTCCTGATGTAAAAAATAAAGAACTCTGCGGAGGAAATGTGTTCTTCACCCTCACCTCGTCTGTTATATCAGGACACCTCAAAGTGTTCACACTTATACCATGGTCACTTAACCACAAGCAAAAAGAGAGCAGTGTTTTAAAGTGTCATTCATTTTTTCAAGTTTGTTTGTAGTTAGTTTAATGCACGGTTTGTTCTGTTTTCCTAGTTAGACTTACTTGGTACCGTTGCCATTGTTGCCTCCAGTATAAAAATGGCTTGTGCACTAATTTAGAGTGGTGGTTAACCTGTCACAGGGACAGGGAATACTTTGTTGCCATGGCTCTGTACTCCATCACATTAGATTTTCAATGAAACACGACTATGATGTGCAGCTGGAATTTAAAGAGCAACCAAAGGCACCAAATTGGCTAAAAATCCTGTTTTTGCTGACCTCCAGTGGTTTCACTTCTCACTGCAGTGCTCCTGTGATATGAAAGTGCACTCTAGGGTAATAATTACCCACCAGGAGTACGTGTACCCCAGGGGTGCAGGTGCAGAGGGTTTGTGGAAAGATACGTGGAGGGTTAAAATAAACATGCTAATATAAATACAAATTGAAGTGAGGTTGAAAAACTTCCAGCAGTGCAGGACATCTGCTACACAAACATCTACCGTTCCAGAATCACTTTCTTGTATAGAGGAGAAAATATCTATATCCAGTTTTGTATAATTACTAGTGTTGAATAGCATCCAGTATATTAAATGTAATATTAATTTATAACATTGAAAATTCAAATTAACACATGTGGAACAGGACTGGGAAAGAAATACATGAACAGAGTATAAGGAATTGCATCCGTATTAGGTAGCCACTGCAGGAATTAACTGAGTTTAGATCATCAGCATCATTTATTTATTTCTAATTTTGGTGAAAGTGATACAGTTGGACGGAGGTCAGGTGTTGATAGTTTGCTGCAATTGAATAAAACTGAGCTAGACTATGTATAATAAATTAAAAGAAAAAGTGGGCACTGAAAGTCAAATCAAAGTCACTGTTGGCTTGTCCTGGACTACTGTAAACACCCTGACCAAATTCGTTTTCACTGCACCCATGTACAGTATGTGAGGTTTCTCTTTTTCTTTTTTCCTTTTTTCCAACTGCCTACTAATCAGAGATGAGTTTCTGTGGCCATGGTATAATCCATATTTAATACACTGAGTAGTCTACAATAACAAAGTGTGTATTAGAGAGGGAAAACTAATTAATACAGTCCTTAACATCCCTCAAATAAGTCCTGCTGGCATCTTATCAGTCCACCTACAGGGGACTTGATCATTTTTAGTATTACAGAATAAATGCAACTTACAGACGTTGATCCAGCTGCAGGTTGACGTCTTCCACTCTCACACTCCCAATGTGTTCTGCTTCACTCTGTTTGGTTTGAGACGCTCTGCGTTTGGTCCGGTCCGACGGATGCTGGAGCATGTCCCTCTGTGTCTGTGAGGTGTCACGTGTCACTCTGGCTGGGTTGTGGGGGGCTGAGTGTCGTCCGTTGGCATGGCATCCTGCCGCCTTACCAGCCTGCTGGTCCAGTGTTGAATGCGCAGGACAAAAATGAATGCGATGGGGGGGTGGTGGTCGATTTGTTGCGTAGCTGCAGACGCTGCCTGCATGTTGGCTCCGTTCTGAAGCTGCGCATGGGGGTACTGTTTCAGTCAGCAGGCAGCATGGGCCTCCCCTTGTTCCACAAAGTGCCCTGTCAGTAACGGTTAGCCCTTCTCTCTCTTCCACCCCGCCTGGCTTTATAAAGGGCCACAAGCAGGTGGGTTGTCATGGAGACACATGTGCCCTCGTTTCTCTTCTTCTGTCCATCACGCAACGCAAGTAGCAGCCACTGCCAGAGAGCACTCAACACACATACATACAGATATAAATAACATACACACACACACACACACACACACACACGCACACACTGACATACACACTCACACAGTAAAATTACTCATCTGGGGAATGTATGTTAAAGTGAGTTTCCTCTTATTGATTCTTCATCAAATATAAGACCTACAAAGTGCAAAACAGTTTCCATGATTGGCTTAACTCTACTGTGGAAGCAATAAACTGTTTACTGTTTAAATAGTAAACTTTACTGCAGAAACAATTTCCTGCGAACTGTACGTAGAAGGCTGTTTTGCAGAGTAAATTAAGCAACTTATCAATGTGTTTTGTATTCGCTAAAAAGGATTATTAAAACATTGGAAACATTGGAAATAAAACATTTTTTTAAATTAAATTGAAAATCAATTAATTTGTTAGCATTTAGTTGAACAACAATTTGTAATTCATCAGTAACTAAATAAAACATGATCATTTTTTGGATTAAAAATTGTTTAACACGAAAATAAATAGTAAATACAATAAATGAATTTAGTGAATATGTAAATAAGTAAAACAAAAAATGCATTGCAGTAATGCCAAACTAGGTTGGAGGTGATTTTGAAACATGACATCGTTTGTGCGTCAAAGAGCGCTGGCTGTAAAATGTCGGTCTATATCTTGGTAACAAGTCAAGACTGTTTATATTATGTGTTCATGTAAAGAAAATTACTTAATTATTATTTGTTGACAAAACAATTTGCGAAATATCGATACCAGTACCAGCCTCAAAAATCCAGTATGGGTCAGGCCATAGTCAAAATACTAATTGAATGAAATGCTTATTTATTTCCCCTTTTAAAAATATTATCAGCTTGTTTTTTATACATGTTTCTATTAGTACAGAATACTGCAATGTTAAAATTGTAATTAATAACAGTTGTGACAAGCATCTCTTCGAACAGCCAGACTAGGAAAAAAGCACCCCCACAACTATTTGTCTCAGATTTTCCTACCACTCCGATACTGCATGTGGGTTACTTTGCCATTGTCCTTACTGAAAGATACGAGAACGAGGGAGTCTCATATTTTCACTGGTTAGAGGGCTCATTCCCTGGCTGATGTACTGTATAATTGAGGAGGAGGGAGGGCTCCAGACCAGCTCTGAAGATCTCTTCTGTCTCATTTTCCAGACGAGATGAATGACCACCAGAACACACTGTCCTATGTCCTCATCAATCCTCCTCCTGACACCATGCTGGAGCTCAATGACATTGTGTAAGTAATTGTGCAACCAGAACAAAGGATACACCCCACTTTTTCTTTTTCTCCTGTGTCCAGTAGACTTGGAGAAAATTGGATCTGCACATATATCTGATGCTAGTATATCTTTCTATAGTGAAAATATTTTATATTTTATTAGCTAAAAGAAAAACATTTCTTCAAAATACAGTAAAATAATACACTACTAATGCATACATGAAATGAAAAAGACAAAAGCCATGTTCTTTCTGTCTTGACAATGATGTGTTATTGAATGCAACTAATGCCAGCCGGATCACAATGGGCGCCTTTAGTAAATGCTCCGTACTTGTATAGCGCCTTTCTAGTCTTTTCGACCACTCAAAGCGCTTTTATACTACATCTGCTTTCACCAGTCATACACTGAGCCTAAGTGCTCAAACGGAAACAGCCGCCAGGGGCAATTCGGGGTTCAGTATCTTGCCCAAGGACACTTCGACACGCAACCAGGGGGAGCCAGGATTGAACCGCCGACCTTCCGATTAACGGCCAACCCGCTCTACCTCCTGAGCCACAGCCGCCCACAACAAACAGTGTGGTGTAATACAAACAGAAGAAATAAAGCATACCTAAAGCATATATATATATGTATAAAGCATACATAAAGCATGTGTCAACATCATCAGTGTATGAAATTGCTGCTTTTCTGAATTGTTGATACAAAATGACTCTGCAAAATTGGACAGTGAAGTATTCTTACACCATAATGCATATCACAATCAAGGTGGCCAAATTCTTGTAGTTTCTCGTGTGTGTTATCAGACAGGATCTTAATACCCAAAATTACATTATCTTCACAAGTTTACATTTTCAACATCAACATAAGGCCTTAATGTCTTCAAAACTGAAGCTGAAACAGGTAGCTGTTTTGTACGTACGCACCGTTTATAAATGAGGCCCCAGGTCTTCAGCAGTGTCGACCAGCACTGTGTCTCCCTCCATGTTGTTGAATAGTTTGAGTAGACGGCTGCGTGCAAACGCACAGGGAGGGGCGGGGCTGCACGATGAAGGAGAGGGAGGAGAAAACACTGCAGGACTTTACGAAACACTTTGCGACGCAGAGAGGGAAGGAGCAGCACCGGTAAACACCAGAACAACATTGCGCAACTAAGTTCTCATTAACTTAACTTTTGAGGCGATGAGGTTAATCTCTCTCTTTTTTTTGAATGTAGCCTAATTTTATCATTTTTGTCATTCTTTCAGGGTGATAGAGGAATCATTGTAGATGCATGTTGACATTCAATGATGGGCATCAAGATACAGCTGGTGTGCTTCTATTTAGGTTGCAAGAAAGCTGGTAATTTGCCTGTGCTGCCCAGACTAACATTTAAATTAAGCGTTTATCCTCTTGCTCCAACAAGTCCTCCAAACTAAACGACAAAACAGGTCATTGTCCATGCCACCCTAAATGGGTCGTAATAACGTGATGAACAGGGAGGACAGGCTGTCTCGCTCAGTTACTGCTCCATGCTGGCAGATAATTTTCATTGTGTCTTTACAGGTACATTATCAGGTCTGACCCGCTAGCTCATATGCCAGATGACTCACAGGTTGGGCAGCCCCGCAGCACCAGGAACCAGCAGGACTTTGGCACAGAGACGAGAGATGAGACTCACCTCTGAAACCCCCTTAGTCCTCGACATCCTGACCGTTGATCTCTAAGCCCCGCCTGGGCCGACAGAGCTTGTTCATCTCACACAGATGAAGGCTTGTCTCGGACCAAGAACAGCAGTCCATAGTGAATGATCATTATGTGTCTCAGCCTCAGAACTGAAATAATCAACAAGTCAAAAGATGGCCCTGAGAGAGAGCTGCTGTTTCCCACTGAGCTGCTACAGGAGGATGCATGAAGAGTGCCTCGTCATTGACCCCGACTCCCCTCACGCACCTTCTGTACTAGTACACATCACCCTCGCAAAACAATCTGAGATCAGGCACTTGTAACGGCTCCCTCCATCCAACCAAAGGTGTGCGAGATTTGATCAATCTTGTGAAAGTTCTTTGGAAGAATCAAAGGAGTTCTTGTGCACATGCTGTACTTAGTGTCAAATCATTATTTAACTCAGGGGTGAAGTTGTCCTCGTGCCACGACCTAGGCTGGCTTCCTCTACGCCTGTTTCTACCTAAACTCGCAAAGAACTGAATCTCCGGGCAACTACACCCTCATCCACATTGTAACAATCCTATTTTCTAATAACACAAGTAAACCCACAAGCATTTACCATGAAATTACAACACACGTGCACTTTTCTTAATTTATTACAAAATGTCTGTTTGGTTTTTGTCAGTTTTGTCATTTTCTTTATGAGCACAAACGTTTTTACAACAGACGGAGATCTGTGAATATACACACTGTAGTGGCACTTTTATTGGCTGTATTAAAATTGTAAATATTTCTCTCTTTGTTTTAGACACTGATTTCTGTTGTGGTTATTGTTAAAGAGAGAATATTGTTAATTTGTTTCACTATTTTACATGTCTCAAATCATGCGTGTTATAGTTTGTGCCATTTGTTTTGTTTAATGAAATTGCTTTGTAAATATATTTAAATTGATTTGTGCATTATGTGCCATTTTGCATACGTTTTGTGATATCAGCGTTAATGTTCATCTCACAGCCTGACCAATATATTGGCCTTGCTGATGTAATCAGCTGATTTTAGCTTATTAGATGTGTCAGCCAACATGTAACAAGACATTTCTATTCAGAAATGCTAGTCGTAGTTGTGCATACTGTTTTGGGACAGTTTGATATTTTTGCAGATAAGCGTATTCGCAGAAGAGAAGCTTGACACCACTCTCATATCTGTATGATAAATTTGAAGCTAGAGCCAGCAGTTTTTCTGGCTGTGGCTGCATAATTGACGGACAGACTGACATATCATGATGAAATTACTTTAGAAGGTGCAAGGTAGATTTATTTAGCATTTTACAACACAGGGTTGTATGAGTTATGATTAACTTAAATAAGTCCTAGAAATAAAACTACTTTACATGATGCAGGGCTGAGGATGAATTCAAGAATTTAAAGCTGTGTGGTATGACAGCAGATACTTCTGTATCTCTTGCCAGACAGCCGCAGGGTCAACAGGCTGTGGCAAGGTGGGTACTGTCTTTTAGTATCTTTTAGGCTCTGCACAGGCAACTCACCGATATCACTGAAGCTTGGCAGATGAGTACCAATGATCTTCTGAGCAGTTTCAGTCATGCGCTGCAGAGCCCTCTGGTCCTGGGCTGTGCACATCACATGCCGCTTGATGTTTCCAGTCAGGATGCTTTCTATTGCTCCTCTGTAAAAGCTGACAAGAACTTGGCGTGGGAATTTGGCCTTTTTAAGCTTCCTCAAGAAATACAATCGTTTCTGAGCTTTCTTCAGCAACGTATAGATGTAATGTGACCATGTCAGGTTCTCCGTGATGTTGATCCCCAGGAACCTGAAACTGTTCACCTGCTCCTCCTCAGCTCCACTGATGTAGAGAGGAGTGTGTTGATCAGCTCCTTGGTTTTGCTAACATTCTACAATAGGTTGTTCTCTGAGCACCACTCAACAAGATTGTTGATTTCCTCCCGATATGAAGTCTCATCGTTGTTTAAAGTCCGGTTGATGGTGGTGTCATCCGCAATTGTGGGTGTATAGAGTGAACAGGAGGGGCCAAGCACACAGCCCTGATGGGCTTCCGTGTTGAGCACTAAAGTAGAAGAGGTGTGATCGCCAGTGTGCTGAGTTTGCCAATTAGTTTCATGGGGGACATTGTGTCTGCAGTGTCTAGTCATTGAGACTAGACACTGCAGACTTTTTATGTACAGGAATGATGGTGACTGTCTTGAAGCAGATGGGAACCCTCTCCTGAGACTGTGATATGTTACAAATGTCAGTAATAACATCTGCTAGCTAATAGGCATATGTTCTTAGTACACAGCCAAGGATGTTATCAGGCCCAGCAGCTTTACTCATATTCACTATCAAAAGGACTCTACTCACATCTGCTGTGGATACTGACAGTAGCTGGTCCTCCGGAGGATTCATCTATGGTTTTCTGGTTGGGGAATGATTTTATTGTCTTTGTGAACACCACAGCATCAACACATACACTGATGTATGATGTCACTGATGATGTATATTCCCCAAGATTGATGTGGCTCTCCTGGGTAGAGGGCTCTCTTAACACTCAGTCCTGTGGAGTTGCTGTAGCCCCAGTAAACAGTTTTTACTGATGGTTTGACCCTTGTAATCAGCTGGGTGTAATTAAGCAGAAGCAGGGAATTATGGTCTGATTGACCAAAAAGATCTCTTTGATTAAAATTACCAGCTGCAATAAAAACATCAGGTTGTTTTGTCATGTGACTGCTGATGGTAGAGTTACTGTAGTGCATTTTTCAAATATGCATCTGGAGAAATGCAAACTGTAACAACAAAAACACTGAACTAACTAGTTATACTAGTTTTAAAGAGTTGCTGTACAACTGGTGGCAGAATTGTTTGGCATAGACTGCGATGTGCACAGTCAAGTCTATTTCTACCCTCTAATGTATTACTGAATCTATTTGGAACGTATTTGATGTGAAAATGAAGTGCTATCCTCTCCAAATTGTACTGGGCATGCCTTGTGTATAAGGCGGTGTCTGTGTGCAGTTGAATCTTGATTTATCATTCCTCATCATTAAGTTTTGTTAAATCACTGTAAATAGTAGCTTTATACATTCATTGTTTGCCATTTTCAGTCTCTTGTGTGTGATTCAAGTGTAAGAGGACTTGAACTATTTTTGCAATAACCTTTGCGGGGATGTCTTGGAGCATAACAGCATGACCCTTTAATCTGAATCTGTACAACATGGTGCACAGTATTCAACCATTCCTGTTAAGCAAAGACAGTCAAATGTGCAGTAAACACATCATGCATTATTTAGGTAAGTGCCGTTTTATCTCTCTGTCAAAGAAATATGAATTGATAGTAATGATGAAGAAGTAACCGCCGTTGGATTGTTTCCTCTTTGGGAGCAGCCAAGAATCAGCATAAGCCTTTTAGTGTTCAAAAGTGTACGTATTTTGCAGAGTCCCATTGAAATGTACTCTTGATCTTTGCTTTGTAGTCACTCAAAAGTGTCAGTTTACAGGGCAGGAGAACTATTCAGTGAAAGTGTGAGCGACCACAATGGCGGATACGATCAGTGTTCAGATCCATTCATTTAGTAAAATCTTAGGTCCTCACTTCACGCTCCACAAATATTTCACTTCAGATCTCCTACTGTCCATACTTACAATACCACAAGGGGCATGTTAACACTTAAAAAGCATGTTTTGATATATAAGCTTGAACAAGAATGGTAATTTTTTTTTACATTTAGCAGGACATTTAGCGTGATGTCCCGTGGCTACAGAAACCCATAATCAAGTCAACTGCTTGCAAGTTGGAGCCATTATTTGATACTGTGTATTTATATGAATGGAATGTGCATGTTGTCTAGGTGTTATCAAAAGCCTATGTATTATGTTGACCTCCACTTTATGTTTTTAAGTCATTGTCAAAAAGGGGTTGATCCATTTTGTACTATTTCTTATGAGAAGTGAGTGTACTTCGACATATAAAATATGAACAAATAAATGCTGCATGCAGCCAGATAAAATGATTGAGAGACTTTTATTTCATCTCAGATATTAAAATGAAATGTTGATGAATATGAGGAAAATCACATGTAGATAAGTGTAAATTAATTTATTAATGTTATTATTAGTGCTATTATTCACAAGTATTGACGTTATCTCACAGTTCCATAGCCTTTCAATATTACATTTAAACTGCAGCAGCAAGGAAAATAAATTTTGAGACATTTCGGGAAATAGACTTATTTGCTTTCTTTGCTGATAGTTAGAAAAAAAGATTCATACCACTCCCATACCGGAGTGTTGAGGTCCTAACCCGATCATGTTGTAAAGACTACTGTCTACTTAGAATGTGATTCCATCACAACATGGTCTCTAGTTTCATTTGTAATTATAGTGTGCTTTCATGGTAATGTATCCGTAATCATGATCCAATAATAGCCTTCTAACACAGCCCATAAAAATATAACACTGACAGGGACTGCAGAGTATGCTATTAAGGCTAATTTTGTCAATAAAGTAAAGACGATCTGTCTCCTGAATATCTACTGTTGCTACCTGTTTAGACAAAGGTGAGGTTCCAGCATCTTTAAAAGGGCCGCTCATGGGCGCCCCTGCAGCTTACAGCCATTCTACTCTGACCACTCTGAACACACCTGCTCTTGGAAGCTAAGCAGGGTTGGGCCTGGTTAATACTTGGATAGGAGATGGCCTGGGAATACCAGGTGCTGTGAGCTTTTACACTTTCTGCTGTTTCAGTGGAGACAGAGCTTTGAAAAAGAGAGCAGCTCGTCTCCGGACTTTGAATTATTACGTGGCTGGTGTTTTAACCTTCACACACAGACTCACATGCTGGAAAATGACAAGTTGTGGTTTTAGTCGCATTTTCACAGTAATGCGTTTAATTTTTTACCGTGTAAAATGTAGCTAATACGATGGCTTAAAATGTATGGTATCTTTCAATTAAAAAAAGTTGAAACACCTTAACATTTAACAGTGTTAATAGTTCATATTAAAATACCAGAAATTCTGCTTTAGAACTGTTACCAAATACTTATGAATGCATGAATGCAGCATAATTCATTTTATTTATACCATAATTAGGAGCAACGGAGTAAGCCTCGAAGTTGTGAGCAATGATATCTCCCAGGTGAAAAGAAATGGAAGTGTCAGTCAGCGGACAAAATGGCTGCAAGCCTCCATGGCTGACAGTTGCAACAAATTAAAATACAATATCAACACTAATTCAGTTTGTTTTTATCTGATTTAACACAAACTGCTCCAAATAGGACAGCAAAAGTAGACAATATAGGCTATTTAAACTGTGTGACAAGGCGAGCAGTGAGGAGGTCTCATGTAGGATGCTATGTTACCATTATGGGAAATGTAGGATCCAGAACCCAAACTAGAGACTCCAGACATCTCAGCCTCTGCTGCACAAGAGCGTTCTTTTTTCAATCTCTAGTCTCACGTCCCCCAATTTTATGGAAGTGCCATACAAAATCCCTGGAGTGCCCCTTTAATGGACACACATTGAGAGCAGTGTCAATCTCCTCATCTAACTCTTACCAAGACAGAGAATAAGCATATTTACCAAAATGTCAAACAATTTGTTTTAATTTTGGCTTAGGTACAGCAGCAACTTAAAAAAGAGTGACAGAATAAAACTACAATATTGTCTGTCATGTGTACACAACTTTAAATTTTGAGTGAATCCCTCTCTAAAACACCTTTGGCACCTCTGTCCTAACGCCGTTGCTTGTTGACATGTATCTGCTTCCACCTCTCTCTGGTCCAGCGGCCGTTGTTCTGCGCGACTTCATGCAACAGGTCCATGAAGGCGTACTCGTTGCCAGACAGCAGGGTTTCATCATCTGGCGAGGCACCACCAGAGGGAGCCTTTAAGCCAGTGCGTCTGTTTTCTGCCTTCTGTCTGCTTGTCACAGCCTGCTTTGGTTCATTTCTCTGCTCTGCCTTGTTGCTGCTCTTATTGGTGTTCTTGTGTGCACGAGTTTGTGCAGGTTTAAGGTCTTGACCAAGTTTTTCCTGATTCAGGTTTTGGGTTTCACTAGTTGTCTGTCTCATAGTGGCAGGGTCCTGGACCATCTCCTCCTTCCTTGGCTGCTCCTCTAGCCTGGTGTCAGTGTGGGCATGAGCTTCACTGAAAGAAGTGGTCTTGTCATTTGGTTTTGAGGAGTGTCCCAATTTCATGTGAGGTACATTTATTTTTAGGGACTCTCCTATTGGATTATTTTCAGTTTCCTCTTCCTTTTTGTCCTGGTCAGAACCAGAAGGTTGCCCCACCTTGTTTAATACTTTCTTCCCCTCACCTGGAAACTTTGCTGTCCAAACAGTGAAGACACCACACCCGTCCTCCTCCTCCTTCATTTTACATCTTGCCTGCCACTGAATTGCAGTCGGAGGCCAGGTGGAGATCCTCCCCATAACATTTCCCACCTTTGCTCTTTGACCCGGACCGTCAGTGGACTGTTTGTTGAAATCATCAGGATTTGTACCGATGCTCAGATAAGGTACAGTATCGGTGTTGACAGATACACAGTGGGGGGTTTCATCTAGACTAGCTTGTTTAGCTTTCACATCAGTAGTGTCTGTCAGATTATCTGTCTCAACTCCTCCATCTACTTCAGTTTCATTCCCCAGTTTCTGCTTTCCTTCAGCTTGGTTTTCTGTGTCTTTCAATTGAGCCCCTGTCTCTGTTTGTAAAGTCACTTGATCTTTCACAGATGCACAAAAAGGAGACATAAAGAGAATAGCATTAGCTGACTTAGCTCTGACTCCAGCAAAGGATCTCCTCCATCCCATTTCTGAGTCCCAGTGACTGTTTTCAGTGAAGTCTCTTTTCTCAGAGTGTGCCGGAGACTGAGTGTAACTCGAACCACTGCTGTCTTCCTTCATCTCACTTCTGTTCTCGTTTTGACATCCAGGCATCACTGTTTTGTTATTGCGTTTCCTCCTATGCAGCACCACCAGGAAACACATCGCAAACAGGAGCAAAGACAGGACCACTGCAATGGGGCAAGTTGTAATTATTTTTAAGCATCCGATAATGTTTTTCAGTACAATCAGACGGACACATGCAAAGAAAAAATAAACATACCCATCACAACAGTGAGCATGCAGACAACATTTGTATCTGACGATGGTTGTGATGTCGCACAAGTTTCTAGAAGGAAAAAAAGACACATTAAAAAATTATATAAGGTACTATAACTATCAACTGATGAAAAGGCCCAGACATACCAGTCAGTCCCGTGGGTGTGAGTGTAGTTATGGGCTGGACAGAGATCTCCGTCACTGATGGTGGTGATGAAGATGATGTCACATAAGTTACTAAAGGAAACAACAGAAAAACCAAAGAGATAGAAAGCAGCTTAAGCTCAAGCCTCAGTCTTCTGAATGTGTTATTTTAATAACAGCAAATGAAGGATGAATTGTGCACAATTTCAAGAGTCAGACCACTGATGGTTAAATGAATCATGTTGCTTTGGTGCATCTGTAGGTGAAATACCATGGAAATTTCAAGATGACTGAGTAGGTGTGTGTCATGAAAACAATTACAATTTTAAAAGCTCCAGTAAGTAGATGTGCTACAATTGTTTTGTTTTTTTGATAACTACAATTACCAATGTCGAGTTTTACAACAATAATGTTGTAATTTAATGAAAAAAGTCATAATATTAAGAAAAAAGCCCATCATTTTTGTAATGAAATATTATGAAAAGAGGAAAAAACTTTGTCAAGACCTGAGTTGGGCCTCATACTACATTTCATGTTTTGAAGGCTGAAAAAAGTGTATGGGAGTTGTAATAATAAAAAAACATTAAAGATTTTGTCTTTAATGCAGGAATCGAAAATGAAATTTGGCTTCATTGTCTTCACAGTATGCAATGAGAATATAACTTGCTCTATAAAATGACCACATGGTGGTGCTGTCCACAAATAACAGTTTCTGTGTCCATGGCCTAACTTAAATAAATGTTTAATAGAAGTCTGTTTGGGTACTTTTTGCAATATCCTGCGAAGGAACAGACAGAATACATTCTCATAATGAACTGTCGATTTTCAATTATAAATGGCGAAATGTATAACCAAACTGAGATTTCAAGAAGATCAAATCGTTCTACTAGTCTAATGATGTTAAAATGAAATTTCATGTGCGCACATAACTGGACATGTTATGAAGCAGTAGGGTACCTAGCTATCTCTCGTAATAGTCTGATTCTATTGGTAAAGAAATCTAAACATGAACGAAACAGAGACAAGAAGAACCAAATGTACCAGTGTTTAAAGTAGGTGTAGTGACCGTTGTGAAGAAATCAGTGGGTTTGGGTTGAACGGAGGTTTCTGTCTCTGATGCTGGTCGTGCTGGAAACGTTGAGAACGACAGAGATACTAAGAAACAGTTTAATATGAATCTAAAGCTGAAGAAACAAATATCAAACAGAACCTGAGACAAGAAGAACCACATGTACCGGTGTGTGAAGAATCGATTAAGGGTGCATCAGTGGGTTTGGGTTGGACTGAGGTTTCTGTCTCTGATGTTGGTCGTGATGGAGATGATGTCACAACTTTTGCTAGAGGGAACAACAGAGATACTAAGCACAACAGTACTAGCCACAAGTGATAGATGTCAGGTGTTGTGTGTGATGAATTTAAAATATAGAAGAGCCAGATGTACCAGTGGATGTTGTGAGAATACCAGTGGGTTTGGGGTGGACCGTTTGAGTCACTGACGGTGGTCGTGGTGGAGGTGACGTCACACACACAGACACGTTCCACACAGGCCGACCCCTCAGAGATGGAGGACTCCCACAGGTCACCTCCATCTGTCTGTCCAGCAGAGCTCTGCTCCGTAGATCTGTGAAGAGAAGCAGCTTCAGGTTTCTAAAAAGTTCTTAAAACCCATAAGACCTATTGTTATTTGTGTCCTATTTCACAAACCTTTCAGGAAATCCACAAAGTCTTCAGCTCCACAGGAACAGTCCCAGGGGTTCCCATCTAGTCTGATCCTGGTGGACCTGAGGGCCCTGAAGACCTGAGGTGAGACCCGGGTCATCCTGTTCTCAGACAAGTCCAACTCAGCCAAGATGGGCTGGGAGCTAAAACTATTTGGCTCAATTGTTCTGATCCTGTTATTATTCAGACTGAGCGTTGTTAAGCTAACGAGCCCGTTAAACGTGGACTCATTCAGGACTTCAATTTGGTTTTCTGTGAGGGTGAGCCCACGGAGGATATCAGGCCGACCAAACCACTTTGGCTTAATCTCTGTGAGTAAGTTCTGTTTTAAACTGAGATCTGTAAGGTTCTGGAAAGAACTGAACGCCCCTTCGGCGATCCCTGTGACACCAGCGCTCTCAAACCTGAGCCTGGTCACAGAAGTGAGGTTTTCACTGCGTAACACAGTGGAGTTTATCTCTCCAACGTCCTTTAGAATCATCACCAGAGATGAGTAACCAGGCCTGAAAGCTAAGAGCACAATATTATGATTACATTTAGGTGTTTACGCTGTTGCAGGCTACAGACGTAAACAAGGAGCAACAGAGGTTAACTCCCGTTTTTCATTGTCCTCTCACGGGTCACATTTTTCCCGAATTATGACAAGTGTTCACAACTTTGGGTCACATTGGCCTGCAGTCTGAACGTAGCCTAAATTAAACTTATATTTTGTAGCAATTTAAGCTATTTCAAAGCGCTGCTTGTGCTGCCATCTAGTGGTGGTGTTGTGCAATGCAACATCAACAGACAACTTTTTCTGACCACATTCAAGAGGGCTGAATGTGATCAAAAATGCATAACATTCAATCCATGCAGGTCTACATGAAAGAGCTGTTCTGTCATAAAAGGTTTTGTGTTTCATCACCCTGACAAAGTTGTGTGACCGCACAGCACAGCTTTCATTTCTCATCAGTAAGGCCCGCAACCCCAACTGACACTGACTCTCATCCCCTCTTTACAGTACATACTGTAAATCAAGATGTAAGCTTTATTCTGATTTTGTATATTTTTAGCACATTGTGTATTACCATTTTCCTAAACATGTTTAATACCTTGCTAATTTAATATTTAATCAATTAATAAAGAAACATTTTGTCTGCCAATTTATGGAGAAACTCACTGAAACTAATGGGGAGGAAGTTTATCATGCAGCAGGACTGCCAACAAAACAAAGGACTTCATCAGGGGAAAAAGGTTTTAGACTGGCCAAGTCAGTCACCTGACCTTAACCCAATAGAGCATGCATTTCACCTCCTTAAGAGGAGACTGAAGGGAGAAACACCACGAAACAAACAAGAACTGAAAGAAGCTGCGGTAAAAAACTGGAATAGCATCACAAATGAAGAATGCAACAGTTTGGTGATGTCGATGGGTCGCAGGCTTGAGGCAGTTATTGCAAGCAAGAGTTGTGCCAGCAAATATTAAATGTTATTTACTTTAAGATTTTTTCCAATACTGTTGCTCACGTAAGAATGCTGTGGTCTAATAAAAAAGGGTGGTATGTCCTGAGTTGATTAACACATCTAGATGTGAATACCAGGAAATAAAAGCTGAAATTCTGAACTCTTGTCTCATTTTCGTCTTTTGATCTTAAACCCAAATGTCTTCAGTGAACAACAAAAACAAAAGGATTTTGCCTTACCGTTCCAATACTTTTGGAGGGGACTGTATATTTATAACAGTTTGCCTATGTAAATATTTTTTACAAATTGTGTTGATTCGCATCATACTGTATTTTAATTTTGCATTACGTAGTGTATTGCATTTCAACTTATGGTTTCATATATTCAGGACTCCCTTGTAAAAGAGAGTCTCAGCAGGACTTTCCTGACAAAATAAAGGTTACATAAAAAATTGGCAATAAAGCTGGTTCTGATGGTAGAGTCAATTCTGGATAACATAAAAACATTTAAAATTAATTTGGGAGATTGAATTTACATTTTTATAAAGCTGTGGTAAGGAAGAAACTTATATCAAAAGATGGCACTTATTCAGAGACATCATTTTCTGACATTTCATTAAATGCTAATATATGTCTTCTTATAGTGAATGATTAAACATTTTCAGTCCTCACCTGATGGTATATTCAGGCAGATTAAAATCGTCCCCTCTCCGTAACAACAGTGGCTAAAACGCAAGTTCACCAGCAAGAAAGCAATACCAGCAACAGCTGTGGAGATACAGGAGAATCAGATTAGCTTTGAATCCAAAATTTCATCATTCCCTACAAACTGCTTGAGCATGGAATAACTGCACTTACACTTCATGGTGACCAATCTGATTGACGCTGGATGCAGGTCTACAACTTGGGACTCAACCTGCAGTTTACCAAGTTTGAAGGTCTTGTGATCACCTGAACGAGCAGGTGTGAAAAAGAAACATGGTTGCCATAGCAGATCAGAGTTTGCCATGGTTATGAGTGCTGGCATTAAGGCATTCAAGCGCTGTTCCAGTTGGGTGGTAAAGTGTGAGGCAGTTAGCAACGGGGACGCCTGAAGATGTTTTGACTACTTAGATTAGAAACAGAGTGCGACACAATTTTGCTTTGGGAGATTCATACGACACCTGGGACATTAATTTTATAAGTAAAACAGTCCAGTGGCAAAATAATGCAGCTATGCAAGTGTGAAAATACCAAAATAAAGTACTTTTGTGACACTGGTGAGCTGTTGTGTAAGAATTAAAATCAGCGTGGTGTCTAAAACAAGCAAAGGAAAATAAACAGTGAGTCTCACAAATGGACAAATAAAAGCCATGAAAAAAAGAATAAAAATGAAAAATGTGATTTTTATTCACTTGAAAATTTTATTCCGTTTCAGTGCTTCCATTTCTAAAATAAATAGATGGCATGGGATCAAAGATAAAAATCAACAAGAATGAAAAGTACACTAGTGTAACAAAAATTGTGACCAAATGTCAATACAATCTTTTAGTTAACATAAAAACACTCACTTACAATTAAAGATCTGCCACCTCCCCCCCAAACAAATCAAAATGCAGCAAATGAGAAATCAAGTATTTTGTTGTTTTTGGAGACAGCAGTAGTATCATGTCAGAGGAGGCCCATCATCTTTACATGTCAGTATTAAATCTTAGTGTTTAGTTTAGTGTACACAATTTTCTCGAACAACAGCAGTGTTACTAATTTGTTCTTAGTTGTTATGCCCTGTCAGAAAAAATAAACAAAATGGTAAAATTCCCCAACAAACAGAAAGTAAAGTGCTCGTGCAACACTTCTGGTTGTTCTCGAGGCCAACAAACGGTTTCTAAAAAAGCACTTTTGAGGATTTTTGAAAACAGAGAGCAACAGAGAGAAGAGAGAGATGACGTGGCAGTGTTTGTCAACACCTTGGAGGAATGTTCTTTAATGTTGGTACATAACTGAACCACAGTCCCCCACCCACACACACACACACACACCCACACCCACACACACACACACACACACACACACAGAGAAACCCCTTTGTGAATATATCAAATACTGTCATTCAAAACCGGTTACAGAGCAGCACGGAAACACTCTTCACAACAAGAGTGTTCACGCCGCTCGTGGTTAAAGACGGGACAGGTCGACAAAAAACACTCAGGGTGGGGAGGAGAGGGAGTAACATTGCATGAAAGAAGCCGTCGACAAGTGTCCATGAGTGCACCTTTATACAGGACAATTCAAGAGTGCCCAGTGGAGAGAGAAAACACAACTAAGCTCTAAACATCAGAGAATTCTTGTTATGATGAAAACACATAACATCAGCTCAAACTCTAAAACACATTGCTTTAGTAATTTAAAGAAAAAAAAAAAAAAAAAAATCGCTAAAACAAAAAAAGCATCATTTCTGTACCAAAACCCATCATTCTTCTGACACCCTCAAGAAAGAGGATGTTTCGACAAATAAAAGTATTTAAAATGACAGTCAACTTTTTATTTATTTTTTGATATACACATATCCAGTGCTACACGATCAGCGTTTAAAAAGCGGTTGGATAAATAGACAATAGTACCACGATGCGTGAAAAGGCCAACGGATGTCTGAAGGAGACTTGAGGAGCTCCCCCGTGACAAAAAGAAGACAGTTCAGAGCAGCAGGTTTTTGGAGATCCCTTGTGAGGCAAACTCGGCAATGCCAACCTGATTCAACAGATTTGACAGTCCACGCAGGAAGAGATTGTTGGTTTTGTTGGGACAGCAGAGCAGTCCGACAGTCCCTAAAAGAGTTGTACAAAGGTCCCTTGCACCGGATTATCTGAAAAGAGCGACAGAAATTCCCTCAATGTCCTCTCCTTTAGTCCGAATTCATCCAAAGGAAAGGCGTTTCTGGAGAGAAGGAAGGACTTTAGTGCTGCAGCTGAGCTCTCCACCATGACAGTGCTGAACAAATAAATACTTCATGTAAAAAATGGACATAAACCACATATGAGAGAGACAGAGAAACAAAATGCCACATGCTCGAGTCGTGGTTGTCATAGAAAAATGGAGCCGAACCAAATGAAACCTGAACAGATTGCACTGAGATCATAGGAAGAAGACACAAATTTAGCCGGCATTCATCTTTTTGTTGCAAGTCCCTCAGACCACCTGTGACGTGCGCACACACACACACACACACACCCCTTCCCCTGTTTCTGCCTTGGTCCACCTGCAGGTGACCACATATCTATAAATGCAGCCTCTCCCGAGCAGGTTTCCACACGGAGCATGGCGGTGAGCTTGGCTGTGTCGATGCAGTCTATTCAGGAAACAAGCAAGATGGGGATAAGATGATTTGGATAAAAGAGGGTTTAAAATCCGGCCTGCTATTTCCCGCTTTTCTTTGGCACAGCACCTCTTTTGGCCTGCCACAGGTGGTTGTGGATAGTCAGGGCGTCCACACTGACTGACACAGTCTTGGCAGGGATGACGGTGAACTGCTTTCGGTCTGAGCTGTACTTGTACAGCTTGTCAATCATCTTCTTGCTGATGCTCTTGGGTCCTGTGCCCGTCAGCTTTTGTATCTCTTCGGTGTCGGGGAAGTACGAGTAGAGCGCCCGGAACTGGCAGCCCCCGTCACGAAACAAGATCATCAGATGGTTGGATTCACACTTGTCCAACTCCTAGTTGGGAAGGAGTTTTAAAAAAAAATGAGAAAACTTGTAATATGGCATTAATATAACCTAATATAACCCTTTTGGCCTGAAAGAGACTTTACATTTTTATATTGAATAGATAAAAAAGAAGATTGAGTACCTGTTCTTGTGTTGCGAATTGTGTTTTTTGTCTAGTTTTCAATATAAGTCAATATTTGTTTGTGCGCTACAAATAGTATGTTACAGGTTTTGCTGTTCTGAAGGAAATAATTCTTCCACCTCTGTAAAAAAAACTAAATAAATAAAAATAAAACAAATAATATCGGACCAGAGAAAGGAATCTGCCATGTGGCCAAGATAGCGGTTTCCCAGAATTTCATGTTATAAGATGGTGAGACAGTCAGACCTACTGACCAGCTCAGTGTCT